GCGGTCCCCGAACCTGGCAGGCGGCAGCAGAAGCGGGCTTCCTGTGTCAGGAACCAGCTTCTCCCCGGGGGCTGTGACCGGCGCCTTGAAGTGGTGTCTGTGTGGTGCTCACCCCCTGCCCTGCCCACACCAGCTCAGTGCACCTTTGCAGCAGTCGGACTGGCAGCTGAGCCGCAGGGCAGGGCCCATCTTGCATGTGTGAGGCTCAGAGTTCCATTCCTGGCGCCAACAGATAATTACATAAAAAGACACATCAGGGGCTGGAGCTATAGCACAGCGGGTAGGGCATTTGCCTTGCACAAGACCAACCCGGGTTCGATTCCCAGCATCCCATGCGATCTTCCAAGCACCACCAAGAGCGACCCCTGTGCATCGCCGGGTGTGACCCAAAAAACCACATTATGTCCTCAACCTCAAAACCCTCCAACACGGCTTCCAGACATAGAGGGGGATTCAGAATCCCCGCTGTGCCCATAAAGCCGCTTAACATGAGACTGGGGTGTCGAGGGGGAGAAGGGGGAGGCTCCTCCCAGAACTGGGAAGGTGGCATAGGCGCACAGTTGGCATGTGGGACACGCAGGTTCAGTCCCCAGCACCGCCTCATCCTCCAAGCACCGTGCCAGGAAAGGCCCCTGAGCACCATTGGGTGTGCCCCCCACCCCTGCCCAAAGAAGTGTGTAGGGGTGGGCGCAGATATATATTCACCTCTCGATGTTGTCCACCTTATTTTTTGCCTGAGCCCCAGAGCCGCCTTGCGGGTCTCTGCCTCGTACACTGCACGTTCTTCCGGCAGCTTCTCCACCTGCGTCCTCAGCACTGCCTGCCCATGGGGGCCTCACCACCTCAGCTGTTGGTGCAGTTCCCAGGGTCTGGGGTCTCACACAATTCTCACGTGTTTAGCAGTGGTGATTGCATGCACACACGTGTCTCCCCCCACCTCCCCCGTGTGCTCCAGCTCTCTCTGGTGGGCATACGGGGCAGGGGCCCTTGTGGTGCTCCTGGCCAGAGTGCCTGCCCATCTTCAGTTGTCGTGCTGGGTGGGGGTCGCACCCTTCAGTTGTGCCCGCTCGCATCTGGCCGAGGTCCCAGGATCTCAAGACGAAGGCCGCGGGGGCTGATGGGGTCAGCACGTGGTAGCACCGGGGGTGCAGCTCGCGGCCTCACGCTGAGAAGGCGCTTTGACCACTTGACCATCTCCCACTCCCTGTGACCACCCTGTTTCAAATCTCAACACCGGGGGTCCAGGGGAGTGCTGGCTTTTTGCGTATGAGGACTAGGAGCCACAGCACACGCGCACACACGCACATGCACACACACACGCACAGGCCGTTCAGTCTCCAGGTCTGTCCTGCCCCACGCCCTGCTCGCTTTCTCTCCACACCATTTCCTTCTAGCAGATTCTGTGCTCTGTTTTGCTCCGGGTCAGTCTCGATCCCAGACGTAGGTTCAGTGAAGCTGGGAGTTCCCCGTGGCTCACTCTGCAGCCCCTGTCCCGAGGGGCCTGGCAAGTGGCAGGGCTCAGAATTCGTGGACTCAGTCAAGTGGTGTCTAGTGACTTCGGGGTGACTCAGCATCGCTGGGGTGGGGTCTCGAGGCCGAGCATGCCAGCTGGAGGGGGCAGGGCATGCCCAGGAGGTGCTCACACCTGGGAAGGAGGGGACGGCTGGAGGTCAGTGAGGAGCAATGGAGAGGGCAGACCCGACCCACGCATTTGAAGGACAGACCCTGGTCCCTGGCTCTGTGATGCTCCCTACCCCCAGACAGCCCCTGCTGGGGAAGGGGCAGAGTGGTGAGGTCGACGTTGGACCGTTCCTCCAACCTGGTCTTTCCTTGGGCGATACTTGTCAATCTTCCAAGAAGCTGATGCCGGGGTGAGGTCAGGAGATAAGCTGGAAAGTGGGCAGGGGATCTGCTGGGGAAGTCGGTGGGGGGTGGGGGGGCTTCCAGACAGGCCTGTCTGCCAGGCTCTCTCAGGTGCCTCCGTTCCAGACAGTCACATCACCTGACAGTATGAAAGGTGGGGGTGGGTGCTGGGTTCCTGGACGGCTCCCTCCCCCCCAGCACGTCTAATCATGGCCTCTTCCTACCGCAGGAAGAGGCCTCTGAGACACCCCCCTGCGGTCTCCTCCCTCCCTCGCCTCCAGACGTTTCGGCACATACACAAGGATACTTTATTTTATTTCTTATTTTATTGCATCACCGTGAGATACAGTTACGAAGCTTTCATGTTTGAGATTCAGCCATACTATGATCGAGCACCCATCCCTCCACCAAGGCACATTCCCCACCACCAGTGTCCCCAGTGGTCCCTTACCCCCTAGTCCTCACCCTGCCTCTATGGCAGACAGTTTCCCCAATACTCACTCTCTCTGCTTTGGGTGCATTATGTTTTGCCCGAATTTTCCCACTCCCATTCAAGCCTGCCTGCCAGGGGCAGACACTATTTTCCATTATTTTCCATTGCTCAATTTTGACTCACTGTCACTGTCCTCCCATTGTTCATCGATTTGCTCGAGCGGGCCCTCTAACATCTCCATTGTGACACTTGTTACTGTGTTTGGCATATCGAATACGTCACGGGGAGCTTGCCAGGCTCTGCCGTGTGGGCGAGATACTCTCGGTAGCTTGCCGGGCACTCCGAGAGGAGCGGAAGAATCGAACTCAGGTCGACCATGTCGGCCGCTTGCAAGGCAAACGCCCTACCCGCTGTGCTCTCTCTCCAGCCCCTCATTTTGAATATCATTAGCGTTCACCCGACCGCAAAGCAGCTGCACACTTCTGGGATCCTAGATTGTAGATGCTTGGGTTCCAGAGACATCTCGGTAGGGCACTAATCTATTTGGGGATTCAACTGGGCGTCTCTGGACCAGGCTGTTGGTACACCAAGATGGTGCCTGGCGGAAGCCACACAAGCACTGTAGCACTGTCCTCCCATTGTTCATCGATTTGCTTGAGCGGGCCCGGTAACGTCTCCATCATTGTGAGACTTGTTACTGTGTTTGGCATATCGAATACGTCACTGGTTGCTTGCCAGGCTTTGCCGTGTGGGCGAGATACTCTCAGTAGCTTGCCAGGCTCTTCGAGAAGGGAGGAGGAATTGAACTTGGGTCGGCCCCGTGGGTTGCGTGCAAGGCAAACGCCCCACCCGCTGTGCTATCGCAACTACAGAAGGATATTTCAAAAACCTAAATGCCATTGTGTTTACACTCTTGGGCACCCGTTTTTCTCGTGCTGCTTCCTGCTCATCTGCCTCGTTCCTTTTTGTGACTGACGCGCGCGTCCCCTTTCTCTGCTGACTTCAAGGCACGTCACTGGCACGCGGCTTAAGTGTTCCCGCTCGCCGTTCTAGCCAGTGCTCAGTACCCAGTGCTCACACCAGTTAGCTTTGCACGTGCCAGCCTATGTCTCCGAGATGGAAAGTGGCGCACAGGAGCGTGTGGCTTTAGCTTGAGTGGACAGTGACCAGCTGCCCCCGGTGAGGCTATGGCAGGGGCCTCACCAGCACCTCCCAAGTACCCAGTTTTGTGTTTCTGCCCATCGGAATGTTTTCAGTTCATTTTTTTTTTTAATTTTATGAAGTAGTTCACAGTATTTGATTGCACATAATATTCAAACACCAATCCCACCACCATTCCACCTTCCCACCACCATATTTTGGGTGTTTCCATTCCAAACCCCCAAAGCAGAACCGAAATAATATATTTCCCTCTAAGGTTGGTTGCCTCCTACTTTGAACCCCATCAGATGTGGTGCAGTGCTCTTGGAGTATGGGTAGAGTGTGTCCTATGAAGTGTCTCACGGTCTGGGGAAAGGTTCACTTGTGGGTGAGGCTTGGCCCAAGCGTGTGGGGAGCAGCCTTGAACGTGGCGGCGGTTGGGTTCTGGAGGTTTTCGGCTGCCGGGACTGGATCCCTCGGGGTGGGGAGGGGCCTCACCCGCCCCCCGCTAGGGTGCCCCGAGTGAAACAGCCTGGCGTGGGGTCCGGGTGAGGGCTTACTCCTCCTGGCTCTCTGCTCAGTTATCACTCCTTGGTACATCCGGTATTGAACTTGTGTGGGCTGTGTGCCAGGGAGGCACCATACCCACTATCCTGTCTGTCTCAAAACACAACTAATCAGTTCATTTTTCAGTTTGTTTCATAGTTCCGCCCCCACCCCTGCCCTCTTGCCTCTGTTGTTCCCGTGGTTGATGTTGTCGTGACGGGGGTGGGGGTGGGGGGTGACCCACACCCCACAGCCTGGCTGTGCAGTCCCTGGGGCCACCCCTCAGGTCCAGTGCCCACTGAGGTCTGCTCTCCTGTACGCGGCGCTTCCAGCCATTGACAGTGCCCGCTGGGGGTGGTGACCCTTCATGGTGCCGGGATGGCAGATCTGCACACGTGGGCACTGGGAGCTCAGGATATGCGTGCGGGCAGGCACTCAGAGCCTCGCTGCCAGTCTGTGTTATTCCTCTGGCCCCCAACGTTGTTTATATAAACAACCATGTATATAGTGGGTTTGGGGGCCACACCTGGCAATGCTCGGGGATCACTCCTGGCAGTGCCTGGAGGACCATATGGGATGCCAGGGATCGATCCCATGTCAACTGCATGCGAGGCAAATGCCCTTACCACTGTTGTATCACTCTGGCCCCTCAAAGTTGTTTAAATTCACCTTTTTGGGGTGTCTTCTGGGTGCACCCCAACAGTGTTGCAGGGTTGCTCCCAGCGGTGCAGGGGTGACCCGTGGAGCTGGGGATCAAAGCCAGGCCTCACTGAGCTATCTCTCCTGTCCCTCCTTTTTCTTCTTGCAGTGCAGAGATTCCAACTTGGGACCTCATGCATGCAGGCACGTGCTGCCCCCCTCCCCAGCCTTCAGTGCCCCCATCTGTGATGAGTTAGTGGAGCGCCCCAGGCCCAGGCTGGGACTGGACCCACGGCCCCTTCAGACCCGACACATTCCCCGGCCACTGACTGCGGGGCGCGGGGTGACCAGCTCTGCTCTCCCATCCCTCTGTCCCCCGCAGGCCTCCCGGGAGCCCATGTCCGAGGAAAGCGACTCCCTGAGAACCAGCCCCTCGGCCGCGTCCCTCTCGGACCATGAGCTGCCGCCGCGCCGCGCGCCGCCGGCCTACGTGTGCTCGCTGAGCGAGGAGCTGGTGGCCCGGGCCCGGGAGGAGCTGCAGGAGAAGCCCGAGTGGCGGCTGCGGGACGCGCAGGCCCTGCGCGACATGGTGTGCAAGGAGCACCCGCACCTGGGCACGGCGCTGGACGACGCCTTCCTGCTGCGCTTCCTCCGCGCCCGCAAGTTCGACTACGACCGCGCCCTGCAGCTGCTGCTCAACTACCACGGCTGCCGGCGCAGCTGGCCCGAGGTCTTCGCCGACCTGCGGCCCTCGGCGCTGCGCCACGTGCTGGCGTCCGGCTTCCTCACCGTGCTGCCCCACGCGGACCCCCGCGGCTGCCCCGTGCTCTGCCTCCGCCCAGGTACGCGCGGGCACCTGGCCCGGGGGTGTGTGTGTGCACCTGTCCCGGGTGTGTCTGCGTGTGTGCACCAGTCCCGGGCCCATATGTCGCTGCTGAACCACACACTTCTTCTCTCACTTCGCTGGGGGTTCAGTCTTGGGTGCGCAGGGCTAGATCTGCGCCCTTATCTTCCACTGGTTGCCTTACCCCAGCGTTACTTGGCCCTCTTATCTCAGATTTACCCACTTCAGTCCCCGCCTCGACCCCCTGTTTCTGCATTTCTGGCATTGAGCGCCAAGAGGGGCTCGACCATCTGCTCCTGGTTCAGGGCGCAGGCAGGGCTGCCACACCGGGCCGTGCCATACCTCCCTCCTCTCTGAGTAGCTGAGGGGCAGGGAGCAGTGCAGGAAGGGGCTGCGTGTCCCCAGCCCCCCGGGCTCCTGGGCCGGAGAGGGTGGGGCCTCCCTTACCTCCCGTCCCCCTCCCTATCCATCTCTTCCCCCCAGACACTCTAGCCACCGTCCCCCTGCCCTGCATCTCCCCAGACACTTGCCACATCCTCTCTGGAAGCTGCTCCTGGGCCTTTCCACAGTCCGGACCCCCGGGTGCACCTCCCTGCTGTTCAGGCACTTTCCAGTTTAGGGAGGATATTTTTGTTTTGTTTTGTTTTGTTTTGCTTTTTGGGTCACACCTGACGATGCGCAGGGGTTACTCCTGGCTCTGCACTCAGGACTTACTCCTGGCGGTGCTCAGGGGACCATATGGGATGCTGGGAATCGAACCTGGGCTGGCCACGTGCAAGGCAAACACCCTACCCGCTGTGCTATCTCTCCAGCCCCGAGGGAGTTTTCTTTTGTTTCATTTTCTTTTGTCTCGTGGATTTATTTTGGAGTTTGGGGCCACACCCGGCAGTGCTCAGAGCTTACTCCTGGCTCTGCACTCGGGATCTCTCTTGACAGGGCTCATGTAAGATGCCCCGAGTGAAACCCGGGGCTGCCACATGTAAGGCAGACAGATGCGTTCCCCGCTGTACTGTCGGCTTCAGCCCCTCAGAATAAGTGATGCCGAGGAGGTGTCTTGGCCAGGAGCCCTAGAAATCAGCCGGCGGGGTTCCTGCTGTCCCCCACCTCCACCCCATGTGTAACTCGGGAATGTTGCAGAACGGACATGACCACACTGATTTCTCCTCTTGGCTCATGTGGTTCCTGATGTTGAGCGGACTCACTTTCCCCATCTGTTGAGCAACTCTGGTCCCCTCGCCACCAACTCACCCTGTCCAGGAGAGCCAGAGTCAGGGACGGGGGGGTTTCTGGCCCTGCCCCTTGGGATGCACCACTGAGGTGCGGTGGGGGGCGGGTTCCGCACACTGTCTGCTTCCCGTGACAGCAGTATTTTCTCTTTGTAAGAAAGGGGCAGGTCTCTCTGGGATTTTCTTCCTTCCTTCCTTCCTTTCTTTCTTTCTTTCTTTCTTTCTTTCTTTCTTTCTGCTTCTTGGGTCACACCTGGCGATGCTCAGGGGTTCCTCCTGGCTCTGCACTCAGGAATTACTCCTGGCGGTGCTCAGGGCACCGATGCTGGGAATCGAACCCAGGTCAGCCATGTGCAAGGGTGCCATCACTCCAACCCCTGGGATTTTCTTGAGAATCGAGAACAGCCGAAAGGTGTTTGAAAAATTTGAAGAAGTTGTCGTCTTCTTCCCAGAGAGAAGAGAGGGGCTCTCTGAGAGACGGAGGGCGCACCGGCCTGGGAGGGCTCACACAGCCTCGGCCAGCTGTCTCTCGCGTGGCCGGCCTCGCCGTGGCTGCCTTTCTTTCCCGGCCGTGTCCCCGGCTCCCCGCCCTGCCGCCAGTGGGCCTAGAGCTGTTCCCTCTGCAGGGAGCCACCATCTCCTCGCGTGGGGGCCCCGGGACGAGGTTCCACAAACAAAAGCCTCTCCGACAGTTCGCAGGAGGAAGGACCCCTGGGCTGGCATCTGGGACCAGGAGTCCAGTGGGTTCTGCCCAGCCGCATGGGGCCTGTGTGTGTGTGTGTGTGTGTGTGTGTGTGTGTGTGTGTGTGCGTGTGTGTGTGTGTTGGGGGGATGTGTTAAAAATCGGGGGCCATGCCTCAGAGGCCGAGTTACGCTTCAGGTAAGTATCCCGCTGGTCCCGCCTGGGAGAGGTCAGTTAGAGCAGGGGGCATGCATTTGCTGCAGGATTGCATCGAGCTTCCGTTCCAGAGAGTGCGGCTGTGTTTGTAGTTTGTAGGAGAGATAGCACAGCGGGGAGGGCGTTGACCTTGCACGCGGCTGACCCGGATTCGATTCCCAGCATCCCATGTGGTCCCCTGAGCACCGCCAGGAGTAATTCCTGAATGCAGGGCCAGGAATTACTGTCCGTCGCCAGGTGTGACCCAAAAAGCAAAAAAAAAAAAAAAAAATACCCACGGCTGCGTAGGGATCCCTCTCCAAGCCCGAGAGCCCTCCGGTCCATGTCCTTTTCCATTTTGAACAACTTTGAACGAGGAGATGCTCAGCCTGTCTGATAACTTGGTTTTGTTTTGGGGGGGCCCACAGCCGGCAATGCTCAGGGCTTACTCCTGGCTCAGGCTCCACTCCAGGTGGGGCTTAGGGATGCCGGGGATCAAACATGAGTCGGTGGATGTGCACGGCAAGCCACCTACCTGCTGTGCTCTTGCTCTGGCCCCATAACTTGCTTACACCTATTTCTTTCTGTTGGGACGGGGCACACGCAGCCGTGCTCCGGGCTTCCTCCTGGCTCTGCACTCGGGGATCACTCTTTTGTTTGTTTGTTTGTTTTAGCTTTTTGGGTCACACCCGGCAATGCACAGGAGTTACTCCTGGCTCATGCACTCAGGGATTACTCCTGGCAGTGCTCGGGGGACCATATGGGATGCTGGGAATCGAACGTGGGTCGGCTGTGTGTAAGGCAAACACCCTACCCATTGTGCTATTGCTCCAGCCCCTCGGGGATCACTCTTAGTGGTGCTTGTGGAACTGTATGTGGTGCCGGGGACCAAACCCGGGCCGACTCTATTCGAGGCCAGCTCCTCTCTCCAGCCGCGATATTCACTCCACTAACGTTCCGTCCGTTTCTGCCCTCAGACCGGTGGGTCCCCAGCAGCTACCCCATCACCGAGAACATCCGAGCCATCTACTTGACGCTGGAGAAGCTCATTCAGTCTGAAGAAACCCAGGTGAATGGGATTGTCATTCTGGCCGACTACAAAGGAGTGAGCTTGTCCAAAGCATCTCATTTCGGCCCTTTTATAGCCAAAAAGGTGATTGGCATCCTCCAGGTATGGCCCTTGTTTCTCGCGTGCCTCTGCTGGGTGGCTTAGCTTTCCCCAGCGCCCGCCTGCGTGTCCGCTGCCCCTCCTGCTCCACAGCTCCCACGCCTCCAGGTGGGAGACGTTAGGGCTCACCTGTGATTCGTGCTGCAGAGTGGGCCAGATCAGTCAGACACCAGGGGAGAAGTCACACACACACACATCAGTCAAACACCGGGGGAGAACACACACACACACACACACACACACACACACACATATACATGCTCTGGAGGTGGCTGCAGTGCTCTGGAGGTGGCTGAAGACCACACCCCCACACCCCCATGCTCTGGAGGTGGCTGCAGATTGGGCCAAGTCAGTTGAACACCAGGGGAAAAATCACACACACACACACACACACACACACACACACACACACACACACCCCCTTGTGCTCTGGAGGTGGCTGCAGACTGGGCCAGATCAGTAGAACACTAGGGGAGAAATCTCACACACACGCACACACGTACACATGCACACACACACACACACGCAAGCACGCACGGTGCTTTGCCTGAGGTCACAGCTCGTGCCTGCCCTCCAGGCTGGGACCAGGAGAAGCTGGACAGTCCATCTGGTTCCCGTCTCCAGTCTGTCTGGGCCCACCAGCCACCAGGACCAGGAATTGCCTTTCCAGATCGAGGTGGTCCCAGCCCGCAAAGTGCCTCTAGGGACCTCAGTCCTCCTGGCGGTCCTCAGAGCAGACACAGCCGAGACTGGGCTGGGGGGGTTGGGGTACAGCGACCCCCAAGGCTGTGGCCAGGCGTCGCGCATGTCTCAGAGAGCCACGGATACTCCCGCCTGCTCACCCATGCGTGGGGGTGGGGGGCTGTCTCAGGCGTGTCGGGGTCCCAGAGGTGCAGCGTTTCTCCTTTCTCGGGTTCTTTGGGGGTCACCCTGGGAGGTGCTTGGGGCTCACTCCTGGCTGCACCCAGGGAACCCAAAGTGAGAGCCACGCCCGCCGTGCTATCTCTCTGATCCCCGCACAGCACCTCCCGTGGATTCCACAGTGTTTCAGAGCCCGTGCCAGGCTGAGTGCATACCTTGGGGTGCAAAGCACCACATCTGGGGCTGTCAGGGCTTATTGGCTCTGTGCTCAGGGTTCACTCCTGGAGAGCTTAGGGGACCCAGTGCTGGGAGTCTGAACCTGGGTTGACCGCGTGCCTTACCCACTGTACTACCCAGCCCCCGATGACTTTGTTTTTGATTGGGAAGGGGGTACACACCTGGTGGTGCTCAGGGGCTGCTCCCAGCCTGGTGCTTGGTGGTCGTTCCTGGTGGTACTGTGGCACTGGGGATCAAACCTGGCACCCCCTGCGTGCTCGGCCTCTTGAGTCTGTCCCGGCCCCAGGCCGACTATTCCAGCATGGCCAGGGTGAGGGCGGGGAGGTATGCCTGGCCCCACGTGAGCCCCCCACCCCCACCCCCACCCCCACCCGCCCTTGGGGTGGCCCTGGCGTCCCCGCACTGCTGGGGAGGGGGCCCTCCCCGCTACAGAATCCCACCAGCGTCACCCCCACACGCGACTGTGCTTTGAGCCAGTGCGCTGACTTCCCTCTGCTTTCCACACATCCCCAGGAGAGAGTGGCTGGCGCATGAGGGTCAGGAGAAGTGGCTTTGGACCCGTTTTTTTTTTTACTAGTCCTCTACAATGATCCAGGGGGCTTGGGGAAAGTTCCAGAATCAAACTCGTTTTGGCTGGTGACAGAGTTCGCCCCTCCCTCGGGAATTTCCCCGTATATACTGCTTCCGAATAGTCCTAAAGTTAGGGAAGTCCTCAGGGCCCTTTCCTGCCTGGGTCCGAGACCTCCTCCTGAGAAGTCTGTGGACGGCGCTGGGCCCGAGGGTCTGAAGTTCGCTACATCGCCGCCCTAGGTCAGGCTGCTGTGTTGCCCCAGAGGACACACTCACCCCTAACGCAGCTCGGGGGTCCCCCCCTCCCCACCCCGGGACTCTTGCCCTGACTTTAGCCCCCGTTTGGGCTGTTTGTGAGGGAGCCCACCCAAGGCCAGGGCCTCAGTGAAGCTTGCCGGGAGGAGGGACTGCACGAGGAGGGGGCGGGGGCCCCCTACACTCTAACTGCGCTCTGACTGTCCCCTCCTCCCCTCCCTCCCCAGGATGGCTTCCCCATTCGGATCAAGGCAGTCCATGTCGTGAACGAACCTCGAATCTTTAAGGGCATCTTTGCCATCATCAAACCGTTTCTGAAGGAGAAAATAGCAAACAGAGTAAGTAATGATCCTCTTGACTTAGGATGTTTTAAAAATTAATTTGGGGGCTGGAGTGATAGCACAGTGGGTAGGGTATTTGTCCTGCACGCATCCGACCCGGGTTCGATTCCCAGCCTCCCATAGTGTCCCCTGAGCACCTCCAGGAGTAATACCTGAGCACAGAGCCAGGAGGAACCCCTGTGCATTGCCGGGTGTGATGCAAAAAATCACTGTCACCATCCTCCCGTTGTTCATCGATTTGCTCGAGCGGGCCCAGTAACGTCTCCATTGGAGACTTTGTTGTTACTGTGTCTGGCATCTCGAATACGTCACGGGGAGCTTGCCAGGCTCTGCCGTGCGGGCGAGATACTCTCGGTAGCTTGCCGGGCTCTCCGAGAGGGGCGGAGGAATCGAACTCGGGTCGGCCATGTTGGCTGTGTGCAAGGCAAACGCCCTACCACTGTGCTATTAATTTGTTTCCTCCCTCCCTTATTTTGTGATACCTGAACATTTATTGTGGCATTTAGGAAATTCATTTTGCCTGGTAACAAACTGCTTTGGAAGGTATAGGGTTACCGATGAAATAAATTGAACATTCCTTCCATGAAGACGAAAATTATCGATATATTCTTTGACAGGAGAGCTAGCAGAGACAGGATGTTTATCCTAAAGATTTCTCTGCTCCGCACCAGAGAGACAGCACTGCGGGTCAGGCAACTTGCCTTGCACGCGTCTGACCCAGATTCAATCCCTGGGACCCCATGCGGTCCCAGATCCCTGTCAAGAGCGAGCCCTGAATGCAGAGCCAGGAGTCAGCCCCGAGCACTGCAGGATGTGGCCCCCAAACAAAAAGACTTCTCTGCTCGGGAATCACTTGAATTTTGATTTCATTAAATCCTGACCTGGGTAGTGTGGAATTTCATTGTTTTTTTTTGTGTGTGTATGGTGCTGGGGAGTGACCCCAGGACCCCAACAAGTAAATGTGTGCTCATCCAGCGAGCTCACGCCCTGGGCACCCCAATCTGGGCGTGGAGAGGCCATGTCAGATTTTACGGGTACAAGAACGCGGGAAAGGGAATTTGGTGGGCAAATGCTAAGGAATTCTGGTGGTTTCCTTACTGCTGCTCCTTGAAAGGCTTATTTTTATTTCATCCTTTCCATTCCACCTGATTTTTATCTCACTGTATAGTTTATAAAGTCACGCAAGGTTAACGGGATGATCAGGGGCCAGAGGGATAGTACAGGGTGTCAGGTGCTTGCCCTGCATACAGCCAACCTGGGTTCGACCCCTGGCATCCCTTATGTTCCCCCAAGCACCTCCAGGAGTAAGTCCTGAGTGCAGAGCCAGGAGGAACCCCTGAGCACTGCTGGGTGTGCCCTCACCCGCCCAGCCCCCAAACAAAGCAAGATTAATGAGATGTGTGAATTTTAATTTGATTGACGGGAAGTACTCAGCGCGGTCAGAGTGGCAGGGCCAAGGGGGATGTGATGGGGCCGGGGTGGGGGGGGTGGGGAGGGCCACTCGGGAGGCCACTGTGGGAACCCGGGCAGGAAAAGAAGGTCCAGAAGAGAGCAAATTATAGGAATTGGCAGGGTGGGGGAAGATGGGGAAGATTCGGTCACCCCAGTGGCCCCGTGAGCTTCTCCCCAGCTCGGCTCTGAGATCTACCCCGAGGTGCCAGGGATCACAAAGGTGCCGGCTGTGTGCGAGGCAAACCCCAGAACCCCTAAATTCCAGAAGGGATTTTCACGGCCCGGGCCACAGCACCTGCTAGGGCCGGGCTGAGGATTAAGGGTCGTCAGAGGATTAAGGGAAGGCAGAGGTGCCAGCCGGCCAGGCTGCTCTGTTTACTCCGCGGGTACCTGTGTGCTGGCGGCAGCCGCGCTAAGGGCCGCGTCTTTCCCTTCCGTTCCCCTAGTTTTTCCTCCACGGGTCCGACCTGAGCTCCCTGCACGCGAGCCTGCCCCGGAGCATCCTCCCCGACGAGTACGGGGGCACGGCCGGAGAGCTCGACGTCTCCTCCTGGAGCGAGGTGCTGCTGGCGGCCGAGGACGACTTCGTGAGAGAGTTCTGCCAGGCCGTGCCCGCGGGCGACCCCGTGCCGGGCCAGGCTGTGCCGCCCGAGGGGCTGGCCGCGGAGGCGCAGTGTGACGACTCCCTGCGGGCCGTGAAGTCCCAGCTGTACTCCTGCTACTAGGCGGGGCGGGCGCAGGGGTCCAAGGTCAGTCCTGCTCCTTGCAAAACTGTCTGGGGCGGGGGGCGGGAGGGGGTCAACCCTTAGGTCCTCGAATGGCTCCACGGGGAACGTCCCCAGGGATGATTCCAGAACATTTGGCATCCTGGCTGTCAATCTGGAAACCGCATTTTGTTCTTCATTGCGGAGCAAAGGCCACCGAGGAGTGACACATTCCAGGAGAAAGCCCCCCTCCCCAGGGTCTACCACGCTTCTCAGGAACAGTGTGGCCGGGCCAGCGAGGCGGCCACCCGCGAGACTGGGGGGTCTGTTGGTCTTTTGCACGAACCTTACTGTGGATTTGTGCCGTCCAGAAGCCGCCAGTGTGGGGTCCGGAACTGGAGAGCGGCGTGTGTGACTGTGACAGCCTCAGGACAGCCCAGCACCAAGACCAAAGCGCACAGTAGATCCCGACGTTTCCCCGACCTGGGCGGTCTTAGCCCGGTTCTCAGCAGACCCGCACCCCACCTCAAGTACCGGGGGGCTCTGGCCCCCGCTGTGTCAAGGCCCAGAGTGGGGGTGTGGCTCCCAGTCGTCCCTGTCGGATGCAACTGGAGGACATCGGGCCTGCTGCCCCCCCCAACCCCCCCCCCCCCCCCGGTGGCCGAGTGGGTGGACGGTCACTGAGCACTGGGCTCCTGCCCACTCGAAGACTCTGGGGCTTTCCAGCAATGATGGGGATACACCTGGGACTGGGCAGCGCTGTCTGGTCTGCCATGGGGAACAGGGAGGCTCCAGGGTGAGAGTCCGTCCCTAGGACCAGCCTGCGGAGACAGGCCGCCCCACAGGGCACGCTGCCTTCCGGTCTCTGCAAGGACACACTGGCCCGGAGTCCCTGCCCGAGTCCTCTCAGCGTAGACAGACAGGCAGGGCCGGATGCTCGCACTGGACCGAGTATTAGTTCTGCATCTCAGCACTTTAGACACCGGGCAGGAATCCCACCCGAGCCCGGCCTGGCGAGGTGATCTCGAGGCTGGCTTTTCTCTGACTTGTTTGTTTCCCTCCTTCCACACCAGGGATTTGTCAACATGCGCCGGGCCGGGTGGACAGCGGTACTGTGGAGGGCCACCGGACTCAGAAATTCAGAGGCCGCTCGGCCGTGAGCAGGCTGGTCCTCCCGTAGCACTTGACAAACCGTTTGGAGAAGTGGGTGGCCTCATCGGTGCTAATTCTAGCAAGTCGCTCTCACGGGTCCTTGAGAAGTTGGATGTGACCTAAAGGACCAGGCAGTGCGGCGAGATCCAAATAGGACAAAGGCCACCGGCACTCAGAACCCAGCTGCTCGGGTTGGGGATGGAGGGGATCCCGAGGTCCCACGAGGCTGGGACAAGAGGGAACACAGCAAGCTAGACAGACGGAATTGTTATGCACACACACACACACACACACACACACAAGTTAAAAACTCAACAAGGGCATCCCTGGCTCTTCTTAGTGCCAGGCTTATCGTGGAGAGAGGCTCGCCGAGAAAAACGACCAGACAGGCCCGTTTCCAGCCTTCCTGTGGGGCCCGGGGGACGGATGCTTCCGCTCCTGACAGCTGGTGGCACCCGGCTTGTGCCTCCTGGCTGGGGTGGCACTTTGTTGGGCTCAGAGCAGAGAGCTGTCATAGCTGTCGGAGGCTGAACCCTCCTGGTTGTCAGCCAGGCCTCCCGGGGCGATGATCAAGGGGCCCCTGCCGCTTTGCCAGGGCTTGGAAGGCAGCTGCCCCTGCTGGGCAGAGCGGAGGGCGCCATCCCCAGCGGGCAGCAGCTGGGAAGCCGAGGGGAGGTTCTGGCCTAATTTGCAGCCCCCAGGAACCTACACTGTGAGTCTCTCGGAGGGGGCCCTCCACCACCACCCCCCACCCCCCGCTTCCAGGGCTCTGCCTGGCCTGTCGGGCAGGAGCTGCTGGAGGTTTCTGTCTTCTCCCGAGGGGTTAGTTAGGGAATTCAGGTTTGAATGACTCGGCACTGTGAGCGGCCCAAGCTTGTCAGCTCAGGTTCCGGGGTGCCTGGCGCCCCCTCCTCACCCTGCAGTGCTGTGTCTCTCCCGGGCCCCCGTTTTCCTTCGCAGGAAATCGAGAGAACCGAGTGCATCCCTGACTCCTGCCAAACCGGGCTCCCTCTGGTCTTCTGCCTCCGTGGGGAGCCGCAGGCCTCAGATGCATGGTTTTGGCTGGAAGGAGAAGTGGGGACAGGAAGGGGCTTTCTCCTGCCATCCTGGAGACGGGGACCCTCCAGAATCACCCCAAAGTGGACAAGTGTTCGCCATAGCCACCAGTTCTCCGATCAACCATGGGGACACTTTTTCATTTGGGGGGGGCGGGAAATGGATGCCACCATCGGCATTGTTATACCTCATTTAAAGTTTTCAGCCATTTTAGGTTTTTTCCTTTTTTTTTTTTGTTTGTGTTTTGGGGCCAGCGATGCTCAGGGGTTACTCCTGGCTCATGCACTCAGGAATTACTCCTGGCAGTGCTCGGGGGACCACATGGGATGCCGGGGATTGAACCCGGGTTGGCCGCGTGCAAGGCAAACACCCTCCCCGCTGTGCTATCTCTCCGGCCCCCTAGGTTTTTCCTTAGAAAATGCTTTTTTTTTTTTTTTTGTCCAGGAAGAGAGATGTTAGCCAAGGCTGCAGGAGTGTCTGAGGGGCAGACACCTGCCAGAGGGAGCAGTCATGGCAGGGAGCCACACAGCTCGGCCCCAGGTCAGCGTGTGGCAAATCTGGATCCAGGTCCCTCCTGTTCAAATGTTTGGCCCAGGGCAGCGTTTCCACCGTGGGGCACTTGCCACGCTGGCACGAGACCCGGGTCCTGTCCCAGCACTGAATCACGCGGTTTGCTCCAAGTGCAAGCGACCAAGCCCAGGGTCCCTCGCGAGTGCCTATTCCCCAGGAAAGCCCATGGGAGCTGGCACAGAGGTGACACCGATGGAGATCTTCCGATTGCCAACTCGCTGCGTGGCCTCTTTTGCCCCTTGGCAGGCTTGTTTGTAGGGGACTCGCTGTGTTGGGGGTTCTTGCGGCTCGGCCGTGCAGATGGGGTGAGAACCTGTCACAAGGGAGATTCCCGAGGTTTCCCCCTGGAGCCCGGAGCCCCTGACACCAGGCTGCAGAGGGGACAGAGGGACCCATCTCAGCCACGGTCACCTTCCACCCAGCTGAAATCCAGTTTGGCCTGGAACGTAGGGATACAAGGTGGTGAATTTCATCGATGTCGGTGTTTTGACCAAAAGTTTATTTTTCTAGTGCATTTTCTAAGTCACGTGGTGAAAACTTGTCACTTTAGTATGCATGACTGGGTCTGAAATAAAAACTCCCGGCAGATGATGCGTGTGGGACTCTTGTGGCAATGCCGAGTCGGAGAGAGGTTCTGAGGTGTCACGCCGCCTGGTGCAAGAGGGCATGGTGGGGCTGTGGCTGTTCGGCCAACGAGCCCTGAAGATCTGGGGCCACGAGAGACAACGCCTAGAGATGGCCCTAGGCACACATACGTGTCCCGGTACAAACGTCCCGTCCTGGCCTTGAGTCCTCTCAGCGTCTGCCCATGATTCCCAGGTGCTGGCCACACTCGTGTAAGCGAGTCACATCCATGGACTCATTCACGCTTCACGCAGTGAAGGACAAGGAGGTTCCCCTGTGACAGTAAGAGGCTCAGGAAAAGGAGCAGCTTGCCCAGGGCCACCCGGTGTGTCCAGCAGGGAGGCAGACGAGAGAGTCGCCTTTGCCTTCGAGGCTTCAGGCGCGGCCATGCAGCTTCATGTTTGTATCGGCCTCCAGCAGAACAGGGAGGGAAAGCAAGGAGGAACTTCCAGAGCAAAATGCTGTCCGTCCAGGACTGGGGGCCTAGCTCCAAGGGCAGGGGCGCATGCTTTGCAGCTCGGAGGCCCAGGTTTGATCCCCGGCATGCACGACCCCCTGAGTACTGCTGGGTGGGCCCCCCAAACTGTGGTAGTTAAACATTTTATTTCACAAATACCTGGTAAGACCAGACTCCTGGTGGGGCTTGGCTGGGATACGGCATGGTCAACTCTGGCAATTTCTACAGGGTGAGTGCCCCTCCTGCAGAGAAGACAAAGGTTAACTCCCAGTCAGGCGATGGGTCTGTTAAGAAACTGTCTTGTGGGGCTGGAGAGATAGCACAGCAGGCAGGGCATTTGCCTAGCACGTGGCCGACCCGGGTTCAATTCCCAGCATCCCATATGGTCCCCTGAGCACCGCCAGGAGTAACTCCTGAGTGCAGAGCCAGGAGTAACCCCTGTGCATCGTCAGGTGTGACCCAAAAAGAAAAAAAAAAAAAGAAACTGTCCTGGGGCTGGAGCGATAGCACAGAGGGTAGGGCCTTGTAGGAGGCCAACCCAGGTTCCATTCCCATAGGGTCCCTTGAGCACCGCCAGGAGTAATTCCTGAGCACAGAGCCAGGAGTGACCCCTGAGCATTGCTGAGTATGACCCCCCCCCCCCTCAAAAAAAAAACTGTCTTAGGCAAGAAGGCCTCATGCCAGTGGCTTCAGTGAAGTGACATACCAGCGCTTCAGGGCAGTCTTCTCTGAGGAAGCTGCAGATCAGAGACTCAGCCTGTTCCTCAGAGGAGAGAGAGGAGGCGATTGCTCCGGCCCTGTGAACCTCCGCTTAGAGGGAACCAAGGCACGGGAGTTTTCTTTTCAGGTTGATTCTCCACTCTCGTCTCTAAGAAGCCTTGGTTCTCTACAGTCTCGTTCCCCACACAGGTCTGATGTGTTCCTGTCACCAGTAATGAGGTCAGCAGGCAGCCCCGTGGGAGGTGCAGGTAGCGGCAGGGTGGCAGGCCCCGCCAGGGGAGTGCGTCAGCAGCCCCCGTGAATAAGCACGCGCTTGCTAGCTGTGAACATCTGCAACGAGTGTGTGTCACTACACTGCAAGCTGGTGAGCACAAAGAAATACTCCTGTAGAAAAACGATGCACCAAATGCTCACCCTCTTACCTGCTAAGACGCCCGTCATTTGGGACAGTCAGGCGTCTGTCTGAGCCCTCTCGAGTTTATCCCTGTCTCCTGGCAAGACAGCAGGGTCCTAATTAGAAAGTTCATTACTGGTACCCGGACTGGTCACAGTTAACTGCTCAAAGCCTCAGTCTGATCTGTTAAAGGAGAACCATCAGCGGGAACTGGAGAGATAGCACAGAGGGGAGGGTGTTTGCCTTGCACGCCGCCGACCCGGGTTTGATTCCCAGCATCCCCTAGGGTCCCTTAAGCACCGCCAGGAGTCATTTCCGAGTGCAGAGCCAGGAGTAACCCCTGTGCATCGCGGGGTGTGACCCAAAAAAGAAAAAAAAAGAACCATCACTATTTTTGGTTTGGGCCACACGAGACGGTTCTCAGCTTTTCCTGGCTGCAGGCCAGGGTCACTCCTGACGGTGTTCTAAGGGGATCCTGGGGATCGGGGCTCTCCGCATGCACACGGAAGAGCCTTTTGTGGGCATTGATACTGTCTGTGGGATCTGCTGTTACTTCTCACCGAGAATGCAGGTCGCCTGCAAGGACAGGGCCATGCCTGGTGGCTGCCTGATGGGCTCCCAGGTAAGAGCATGGACACAGCGACATGGCAGGAAACACAGGAGCCTGGTCTCTGCCCCCTCCACCTGCAGGTAGCAGAGGACTCAAGGAGTCAGACCTCACTCCTGCACATGCGCTCTCTCTCTCTCTCTCTCTCTCTCTCTCTCTCTCCTCTCTCTCCGTCTCTCCCCCCTCCCTCCCCCACCCCCTCCCCTTCTGGACTCATGCCTAATTCGATGAAGAAAGACCACCGGAAAGAGTGCTCTCCTGTCCTCTGTTTCCTACTTGAAACCACTTCATTTCGTAAAAGAAACCCTCAATCGGGGGCTGGAGCAATAGTACAGTGGGTAGGGCACTTACCCTGCATGCAGCCAACCTGGGCTCAATTCCCAGCAATCCATATGCCCCCCTCCCCTGCCCCCGAGCACCACCAGGAGTTAATTCTTGAGTGCAGAGCTGGGAATAACCCCAGAGCATCACTGGGTGTGGCCCCCAAACAAGACAAAAAATTTAAAAAGAAATCTTCAATCAAGGGCTTGTCATGAATAAAACTTTGCTTGTTCTAATTAGACCTGAGCTCTAGTCTGGTTCACCGTCACTCTCACTGTGACTGTCCTCCCATTGTTCATCAATTTGCTCGAGTGGGTCCAGTAACATTCTGAGACTTGTTACTGTGTTTAGCATATCGAATACGTCACAGGTAGCTTGCCAGGCTTTGCCATGCTTGCCGGGCTTGTACAAAACAATGAGAAACAAACCTACAGCCATTCTCTGGCTGGATTTTTGTGGAGAAACTTCTCTTCCAGCCCAACGGGTCTCTTGCAAGACCATCTCAGAAAGTGAACATTCCATCCAGCCGAGGCCTCCAAAAGTGTCCTCCCACTGTAACTGGGCCAACGGGCCATCACTGCTGTCGCCTCTGATGTATTTCTAGAGCAAGCAGATGGCCTCAGAGACAGGGCCCTCCGTCCACAGAGCTGGAGGACACACACGCTTGTTCTTGGGAATGGAACATCAGGTGACTTCTCTGGAATGAAATGACACCAGGAGATCTGATGACTCAAGTCCTCCCCTGCACTAGGGTGACGCACCCCTGCTGACAAGCTGCCATTATGTACGCGGAGTGTCATCCGGCACGCGCTAAGAACGGCTTTCAGAGCCAACAGGCCAACCATTCTCAGGGTGAGGCCCAGCAAGTAATGAGCACTCTGAATTTTAAAGATGTCATTACTTCACATTCACAGCCAAATTGTGTCATCACCGGGAGAAAAATAAAACATTTTGTTGAGCTTTTGTTCCAGGGGCATTACAATTTAATGTCGCTTTTCTCTCCTATCACACAGAGGAGGGATGGTGGCACACCATGGTTTTGAAAATGAGGCTCTTTCATGGTCTTGATCCGGAGGGTCCTGCGGGTGAGCCAAGTGGGTGAGCCAAGTCTGCCTTACACGGGGGAAACGAAGGGCGAAAGCTCCCTCCGTCTGCTCTCCAGATCCGCTGTGGCTTCATCTCTATATCCTGACACCCATCAGTAACTAGACTGACTCAGGAAATGAAGGGCCCAACATCTGCCATCAACCCTTTTTCCCTGCCTCTGCCACCGGGAGACTGCCCCTCTTGTCCCAATCTGCTCCCTTCTGCAGCCATCTCAAATGTCGCCTCTGCCAGATGCCACTCAGCATCTCTTTCCTATAAATACGTAGCCTTATTTTTAGCCCACAAGCAGGTATCTCCCGAGTGCAGGAAATGGGCTGGTGCTTGACCGAGTAACCTCCTGCATTTGATCATAAAGGCCAGTGCTCGGAGGCCTGGAGCACTCCACAGTGGTCAGGGAGTGAGCACTGAGCACACAGAGCCAGGGATGGAAACTGGAGCCTTCGACTCTGCTAGGCATTTGCTCCCCTTTTCCTTTAATATTTGGGCCACATCTGCCAGTGCTCAGGGCTGACTCCTGGCTCTGTTCGCGATCACTCCTGGTGGGCTCAAGGGACCCTATGGGGTGCCGGGGATCAAGCCCGAGTGGGCCGCATGCAAGGCAAACAGCTTCCCCTGCTCCACCATTTGAACACTCTTCCGACTGTCTTGTGTACTGAGAACCCACTTTTGTGCAAATGAAGAGAGCGGCTGAGCACTTAGAGTCACCATTTGCCCGGTAAAGCACAGGCTGTGCTGAGGAACTAGCAGCCCACCAGATTGCCAGAGAAGGCAGAGCTGGACACGTACCCACTCCGCTGGACCCCAGCCTGCTCTCGGGCCCCCTGAAGGAAACACCTCCATCCTCCCGGCACATGTGGCATAACTTGCTCCCGTTCTGTTCACCCCTAAGTAAACGGAACCAGCCCCGACCCCAGCGATTCAACAGCAGCATCCCAATCAGCAACCTGGAACCCACCTCTCCCCTACACCTCCCCAGGTGGCTTCAATTTTTATTTTTATTTTTTTGCTTTTTGGGTCACACCTGGCGATACACAGGAGTTACTCCTGGTTCAGGCACTCAGGAATGACTCCTGGCGGTGCTCGGGGGACATATGGGATGCTGAAAATTGAACCCGGGTCGGCTGCGTGCAAGGCAAATACCCTACCCGCTGTGCTACTGCTCCAGCCCCCCCCCCCCCCCCAGGTGGCTTCAATAGGTTCCATTAGTGAGTAGCTCTCAGTAGCAAGCAGCTGCCCCTCTCTGCCCATCATCACTTTCCATGTCTGAGTTCCAAGTTTTCTGTCACCTGCCGGCCACAGTGACTGAGGACCCAGTAATTTCGCCAGAATGAGCCAGTGTTGCTCGCAACAGCTCACACAGCCCTTCCTCAGCAGCGCCTACCTCTGCTCCCCATTCCAGCCTTGTCTTCTGAGACAGCACCACACCGAGTGACCTCTCTCAGCTTGTCCCACCCTCCTCCCAGCAGCAGCTCCAAGGGGGCAGAGCCAGTGTCGGTGGTATTTAAATGTACCTCCCGGAATTTGACAAAGGACAGACACTCAGTAAATCTGTTGGAAAATCTGGGGCTGGAGACAACGGCTCAGCGGTCAGCGCGGGCCTTGCACGCAGGAGGCCTGACGTCAATCCAACACAGCAAAAGAGAAAACCAAGAGAAAGATGGCAGGGGAGCCAGTCCAGAGGTGCAGGAAACTGCTTGCCATGCAGTGGATCCTGATTCAAGGCCCCCCCACCCCACATCACATATGGTCCCAAGCACAGCCAGGAATGATCCCCTAGCACAGTCAGGAGTAAGTCCTGAGAACCGTGAGGTGTGGGAACCCTTGGGGTGTCCCTTTCCCCATAAAGAAAAGAAACGAACACTCAGTCTGTTCTCTGGACACGTTAAGAGCTTCCTGATAGTTCCTGCCGTGTTTCTCACCTAACCAAAGCGGCTTATTTGAAGGAGATATTTGGTACAATTTTTGATGAAACTTCATCCAGAGTGAGACCTCAAGCTTTATGAAAACAAATGCATTCTGCAGAATGCTTAATAAACCTGACTGCTCAGGTACATAAAAAAAAAAAAAGAGGAAGGACGCTAACTCACAAAAACTGCTAAAGAAAAGTGTGGTCATACTTAAGTCTTTCGATTTTAATCAAATGCCTTCATAGTGCAAATATAATGATTCACATGCATTTTGTGTGTACATACTTGTAACAAGATAATTACATAGACCAAAGGTGCACTGCTTGCCCGAGTGAATCATTTCGACCAAACCTATAAAGCATGGATTGATATAACATTTCTGGCAAAGCCATAGACCTGAATCTAATGTTATCACTGCCATAGTAGAAAAATGTAAATAAAGACCCCTAGATGTCAAAGCAGCAGCCATCTCGACAGCACCCCCTTCCACAGAAGGACCCACACACATCCTCTGTCCCCCAAGTATTACCTCAATCAAGCACTGAAGGGATGAACAGAGTTACATTACACAGTAGAGAAAGACTTTCACAAGGAAACTGGCATAGAAATGCTTTTTCTTTTTTGCCTCTTAAGGAGACTGCAATAGAAATATATTAATGATGGCCTCAAATATCCAACATTTTTATATCTTACGTTTTTAAAATCAAAGTTGTAGAACCAATAGATCTAAATAAAGAACTCTCACCACAGCACAGCTGTAGATCACTTTAAAAATGTTCTCTCTGCACTAAATCCTTACAAATGAACATCATATACATATAAATGACAACTTCAGGTCCTGCATCAAGCATTATTCACGCCTGTCCTCTGATAGAAAGTTGGATACAGTCAAGTTTGCTAAGCATTCGCTCAATATTTTAGTTGAAGCAAACGTAAAAGGAGACGGGCTTTCAGCAGAGGGAGCCTTGGGGAAGCCTCCTGAGGTTCAGCTGAAGTCTCGGTTGGTGCAGACGAGGGGGGCCACCAGGGTCCAGACGTACAAGGCGAGGCAGACCCAGCTGGAGCTCATCTTGACCCACACTGCTGGCCACTTGCTGGTCATGCTCTGGAACTGTGTGTCAGGGCTGAGGGAACAGAAGCGATTCAGCCAACGAGTCACACATCCAGCAGCCCCTCGAGCTACAGCCACTGCCATCTGCCACTGCAACGTGGCTGACACTAAGTCAGGTTCTAGAAGGGGGGTGAAACAAGTAGTGATCCGGACCCCCTGCCCTCCAAGCAGCTTGTAACAACAGCAAGTTAACTCCCAGCAGGCGGAACCCTGACTGCTCTTGGCCATTTCTTTAAGAACACCTTGCCATTTTGGGAAATGGGCAAAGTCGAGACTGATGTGTTGTCCCTGAAACTTTCCTTCCCCACCATAATCACTCCTTTGATTAGAGTTATTTCAAGTCAGCTCTACACACAGAAAAAAACATCAGTGCACAGAGACACTGAGATTATTTCATGTCAGGATTTTCTCTCTCGGGTAACTCAAGCGTACCCCATGGAGGCACTGTCAGAATCCCAACTCGATTTTAAACTCAGGACTAGAGAAACTTGTAAAGTATTTCAGGAAAGAGTCAGCACTGAGGGCTGGAACGGTAGCAGAGCGGGTAGGGCGCTTGCCGTCCATGTGGCTGACCTGGGTTCGATCCCTCGCATCCCACACAGTCCCCTAAGCACTGTCAGGAGTGTCTCCTGAGCACAGAGCCTGGAGTAACTCCTGAGCATTGCTGGGTGTGCCCTTCCTCCACCAAAAAAAAAAAAAAAAGGTCAGCACTGAACACAGCTCAGTCACATGGCTCAGACAAGGGATGGAGACTCAAGGCAGCCCCAGGAGGCAAGTGTTCTCCCACCTACCTGTACCAGTTAGTCAAGGTCAACATGATGTACAGGGAGGCCAAGCTGAGCATGAGGTGGAAGGCGGAGTAACTGTACTGCACTCCGTCCTTCTCGTTGTCCACAGCCCGCCGCGGCTGGCCCTCCTCTTCATCCCCGGCGCCCGTGAGTGGTGTCTCATTGAGGATGACGCTGTCGCTGCCTGACAGGGTGAGCTTGGTCACTTGGCTATTGCTGGAGTTACGGAAGCTGGAAAGAGATCCCAAAGACGACAACTTCGAGAGGGGCCGTAGAGGTGGCCTGCTGCCGCCGCCGGCCATCTGGCACCAGAATGCCTCCTATTCGGGGATGCAGGCCCACGGGGTGGCCCAGGTCTGAGCCATGAACTAGCGCTGGCATCCCAAGACAGAACGCTCAGCGGGGACCACTGGGTAACTGCTTAGGTGCTTCCTGAAACACTCTAGGTTATCAAGGTCTGTCTCCCAGATGTCACGCAGTGGAATATTCTACCCAAAGAGCAAGGAACAGAGTATTAATATATGCGACAACAGGACTGAACTTTGGAAAGGTGTGCCAAATGGAAAAAGCCATTCAGAAAAGGCCACAAATCACAGGGCTCCATGAACAGGAAATATCTGAGGAAGTAAACCTACAGAGACAGAAAGAAACTGTATTCTATTGAACTGTACTCTGTATAAAAATAAATTTTCGCGTGAGTTCTATATAAAAAGAAAAGGCGAAGGGCCAGGAGATAGGTCTGAGAGCTGGTGTCTGCCTTGCCTGTGCAAAGCCAGAGGGAATCTCCCCTAATCACACGGCACCTGGGCACCACTTGGAGGCCCCAAACACTGACAGGAACAGCCCAACAGGGTCAAGCACTGGGTGGTCTGGCATGGCTGGAAGAAGCCCCCAGGAACTGTTGAAGGGGGTCACAGAAATCTAAAAATAAACCAGCCCAGCTGTTGTGCCATGAAACTTTTTTTTCAAAATTCGGACCCAGTCCAAGGTCTAATCTGCCAGTCCCCCACACCGGTCACATCTGGCAATGCTCAGGGCCAACTCCTGGCAGGCTCGAGAGACCATATGTGGTTCCCGGGATGGAACCCAGGTCAGCTGCGTGCACATAAGCACCCTACCTACTTAACTGTACTACTGCTCCGGCCCCAACAAATTCACATCTCAAAACATATGTGGGGGCTGAGACCAGAGAGACTCGCAGTGAGTGATCAACGACAACTGCAATTAAAAAGGACTATAAAAGGAATCACACCAACCCAGGCTCAATCCCGGGCACCCTGAATGGTCCCCCAAGTCCCATCAAAAAATTGCTCCTGAGTGGAAAGCCAGGAATAAGACCTGAGCACTGTTGAGCGTGGCTCAAAAACTAACAAACACAAAAGTAAACAAAACCAACAACAAAACAAACAAAAAAGTGTTCATTTTTTTTTTCACTTCTCAAGGCCATACTCAGCAGTGCTCAAGTGGTACTTCTAGCAAAATGCTCAGCAGGGGTCACTGAGCTCAGGGGTGCTCAGGGGACCAAGTGTGGTGCCAGCTACGTGCAAGGCAAGGATCTCCTTGCACTAGCTCCTCAGTCCAAGAACATGTGTGTTTATAGTCTGCATTCCTATTTCTTTTTTTTTTTAAACAAAGTCTTGTTCTCTAGTTTTAAGAATTATATAATGAGGGCTAAGGAGATAATTCACAGGGCTCTACAGGTGAGACTCGAGTTCGAGCCCAAGCACAGCACAGCGGCTGAGTGTCACTGGAGCGACCTCCACTCGCCAAATCAGAGGCAGCCCCTGAGCAGCACTGGCAGGGGGTGGGGGGTGGGGCCAAACCACGCCCCCCCATGAGCGATCTAGTTTAACTATAATCAACTGAAACATAATGGTATCGAAAATTACATCTACATAGACATCCAGGTAAGCCGAGAGTAAATGTTCGGAACTAGATGTGGTTCAGGAACGAAGGTGAGACCAGGAATTTCGAGAGCGAGCTCAGTCTCGTTCCTGCCTCCCTCACAAAACTCTGTGAAAGGAAAATAGCACTTTCACTCTGTTCTGAACATCTTGCCTGCGTGCTTTTTAACTTACCTCGAATACAAGAGACAGACAACAAAAACAAACAGCCCCAAAAAGCTCTCAGTGTCCAGGAAATGACTGGTGTTGGTGGAGGGAGCATCGATCGGGACGGGTGTGGTGGAATTCCCGGGCGCCAGGCTTGGTGCAGTTATATGTGTGATGATGTTCAACAGGCCGGGGTTGCAGTGATGATCTGAAACAAAAAAAAAGCTTCACTGTTCCAAGTCCTAGCTTTCTTACTCCAAGAGAGGATCTGAGGGCTGTGCTTCATGGGACAGGAAGGACATGTACTGCCAAAGGACATGAAACCTAGCGGTTAGCACACCGTGTGTGGCCGCCACGGAGAAGCCAAGGGAAAGAACTACCGAGCATCCATCACGCTTCAGAACGCTGATCAGGGCTTGCGTGGCTCTGAAATTGAGCTGGCAAATCCTTTTGGTTCTGTCGCTGTGCAAAGACTTTATTTCCAGTTTTCGGTTTTACATAGTTATGTAAGAATATAATAATAAGCGTAAGCTGCATGAATCATCCTTGGAGGGCCTGCGAGGCTTTCCTCTCAAAGGAGTTCTGAAATACCCTACCGAGAAGTAACCCTGCAACAACCATGAGAAGAGATTTCCTCCAGCTCGCTCTTTTCAAGCTGGAAAAACCAGCCAAACTCAATGACAACAACCCTTATGAAGAGGAAAAAGCAGTATTGGCTGGTCCAGCTCTGAACTGGTTTGTCGGAGTCGAGGGAGAAGCCTGGACCTGCTAAAGAAGTGGCCTCGGCCCCAGTCCAGACTGCTGCCAGGCCCAGACACATCCTGCTGCACCACGAAACGGTTACTACTGCTTCAGTACATGGCATGCTCGGGTCACGGGGTGGGACCGTCACAAATACTGCCGTATCAATTCTTTTTTTTTGCTTTTTGGGTCACACCTGGCGATGCACAGGGGGTTACTCCTGGCTCTGCACTCAGGAATCACTCCTGGTGGTGCTCAGGGGACCATATGGGATGCTGGGAATCGAACCCGGGTCGGCCGTGTGCAAGGCAGACACCCTACCCGCTGTGCTATTGCTCCAGCCCGCCGTATCAATTCTTATGATAAATCATCACTTCTCTCCCTGCCTCGGCAGTATGCAGAACACTTCTCCCGGTTTCACTGGGCTGCAGGTGTACAAGGTCACGCGTCACTGGGCTAAAGGAATCTGGTCTCTTGGGCTGTAAGCCGTGAAGGAATATGGGAAACAAAACCAGAAAGGGCGGCATCTGCCGGCACCCCGAGAACACGACAGGACTGAGCTCGTGTTTGCGCAGTCTGTTTACCACTTGCTCTTCCTCTGGTTTCCTGCCCGCCCCCACAGGAGACATCTCCTACTTGCTTTCCATCAGGTGAAGGCGCTGCTGACGTCCCCTTACTTACCAGGCTCGTTGGACATGGCCGACAACGTCAGGTACATGGTGTAGAGTGTGATGATGGAGGACTGTAGCAGACCGGAACGCGGCTGGTGCTCCTACGGAACCCAAAGGAAAACCATACCACAGGAACGGCAAGGGCTGGTTTTCGAAAGCCCAGGCTATTTCCCGGGGCCACAGTAAATACTCGTGAACTGAGAAAGGTCCCTCTGGCTTGAGAGCTGGAAAATGACAAGCTGCTTGTCAGCTGTGTCACCTGGCAAAAGAGCTTATGAGAGAAAGAGGTGCTCATGGCATCTCAGAATCCTGGAAGTTCTCCAGCCCTTTCCTGTTTTTTGCTTTCTTTTTTTCTCTTAATAAACAAAGTTTCATTTCATTATGATACAGGCACTCAATGGTGCATCTCATAGTTACTAAGTTATAATAATAAAAACTTTACCATAAATAGATAAACTGAGACATAAATTCACGTGCAAGATTACACAGACTTCAACTAAGCATTAAAAAAAACGTTCACATGGAGGGGCAGAGCTATAGTCCAGTGGGTAGGGCATTTGCCTTGTACCTGGCCGACCCGAGTTTGATCCCTGAGCACTGGTAGGCATTATCCCAGAGTGCAGAGCCAGGAGTAGGCCTGAGCACTGCTGAGTGTGGGTCAAAAGCTTAAAAATAAATACATAAATAAAATGTTCAGGGCTGGAAAGATAGTACCATGAGTAAGGCACTTGCCCTGCACATGACTGACCTGGGTTCGATCCATGGCATCCCACATGGTCCCCCAAGCACCACCAGGAGTAATTCCTAAGTGTAGAACCTGGGCATTGCCAGGTGTGGCCCCAATACAAAACAATGTTCATAGAAGAGGGAGCCAGAGAGATAGTACAGCAGCCTAAGTGCAGGCCCTGCTTCTTTGGGAGTGGCCCCCAAGCCAAAATTTTTTTTAAATTATATATCCCCTTCTTTTCACTGAAGGAAAAAGCAAAAAACCCACCATACCTGGATTTTGGGAAGGATTGACAGAACAGAAATCGCAATGCAGAGGATCAGATTGATGCTAATGAAGAACTTATTCTCCGTGCAACCATCCGGCTTGGTGTACATCGTGTAGAGCACCGTGACCAAGGCGATCGACAGGATGTAAAACAAGCTCGTGAAAGACAGTAAGGCTAGGACAAAGGAGACAAGGATGAATGCTCGCACCCCAAAAGACACCTGACTCTTCTCACTTCAGAGACACCACTGAACTTCAACTGTGCGCCACCATTTAAAAAAAATTCCTTGGTTTTTGGCCGACACAGGGCAGTAATGAAGGGCTACTCCTGACACAGGGCTCAGAGGGACCATGCAGGGCACCCACGTATGCTCAGCCCTCGGAGTCACCTCCGCAGAACCGCACTCTAAACTTGCTTAGAAACTGCACTCTAAGGCTTCTGGGTTCTAAAGTGGCCCCGCTCACTGTAAGCTAAATGTCATGGACAGTATTTAGTGGGAAATACCTTTTTAATGGCACTTTTTTCCTCTGTAGCTGCCACCTACAAAGCCCCATTTACTTATTTTTGATTTGGGGGCCATACCAAGCAGTGCTCACAGGCTACTCCTGGCTCTGTGCTCTGGAATAATCCCTGGCAGTACTCAGGGTGATGCCCAGGATTTGATGGTGGGTTGGCCACATGCCAGGTAAACACCTTAAGCCCGGACTATCTCTCTTTTCCCTCACAAGTTATTCTTAATATTGATATCAAAATAATGGGGTGCAATTATTATATAAAGTTCTTTTTCTGGTGCTGTTTTGTTTTGTTTTTAACTGAAAAATGCATGGCTATGATTATACAGTGAAATACGGCTAACACACATCTTTAAATGTGGCAGGGAGGTAGCTCCAAGGGCTAGAGGCTTTGCATGCAGAAGCCCCAGACCACTGCCTGGAACAACCCCCAGCAAAAGCGGGGTGTGGCCCCATATACCAAACAAATCAAACACAAATATTGCACACATTTCTTCTATACAGGATACATATGTTATTTTATTTAGAAAAAAAAGACAGGAAGACTATCAATATGTTCTCACTGAGTGGTAATTACAGGAAGAGAGTTCAGTTACAGAGGGATTTATTTTCTTTTGTGATTTTTGGTTTTTGAATTTCTTGACCCAGAGCAGCTCTCCTTTTATAATAGAGAGAAAGAGGGGAGAGTCAGGAAGTTTCAATAGCTAGTACTTTTATTTTTTTTTTTTGCTTTTTGGGTCACACCCGGCGATGCACAGGGGTTACTCCTGGCTCTGCACTCAGGAATTACCCCTGGCGGTGCTCAGGGGACCATATGGGCTGCTGGGAATCGAACCCGGGTCGGCCGCGTGCAAGGCGAATGCCCTACCCGCTGTGCTATTTCTCCAGCCCCAAGTACTTTTAAAATTAGGTATCATTGGGTCATTGATACAGAATTTCAAAGCATACGCGGAGTTTCAAAGTCCCTTCCTATCACGACGGGCTGTAAGTTTTAGTCCCAGTTTGGAAAACTTAATTCATTTCCCATCAGGAAACTTTTGCAGCACTGGAGTCACACTGTGAATAGTGCAGTCAGGACAGGGTTGTTCACCCCCAGGGTACATGGACAGATGTTCCATCAGCAGAACCCATCTGTCCACAGAAATAAGGCTGTCAAAGCCAGACCAGAATCAATAAGAAGAAAGGTTTTCCTCGATCTAAACACATGTAGTTACACATCAAACCTCAAAAATAAATCAACTGGGAGAATCCCAATGATTCAAAGCATCTGTAATACTCCCAGTAATGCATATAATTTGGGATTAACTGGGAAATTATATTTTATAAAACCAGCTCGGGCTGCAGTGATAGCAGAGGGGGTAGGGCGTTTGTCTTGCACGCAGCCGACCAGGGTTCGGTTCCCATCCAACATCCCATATGGTGCCCGGAGCACCGCCAGGAGTAATTCCTAAGTGCATGAGCCAGGAGTAATCCCTTGTGCATCGCCAGGTGTGACCCAAAAAAAAAAAAAAAAAAAAAAAAGACCCTCTACTACATTAATTCAGGAATAACTGGGAAATTATATTTTGTAAAACCAGCTCCACTCCCGAAGAGTTTAATTAAGTATTTCATTGTCTTGTATTTTACTTCATGTCCCACCTAGTGCTCAGGGCTTACTCCTGGCTCTGCTTTCAGGGGTCACTCTTGATGAGGCTCGAGGGTACAAAGGGGGTCTGGGGATCAAACCTGGGCAGCCACGTGCAAGGCAAATGCCCTAGCCACTGTACTACAGCTCTAGTTCCACGAGTTTAACTATTTTAAACGATGGGTATTTTTACTGAACACCTTGTTATTTGTGCATTGTTTTATTTTGGGGTCACACCTGGGTGGTGCTTGAGGATCATAAGCAGTGCCAGGGATGGAATCTTGTGTTGGCAACATGCAGGGCAAGTGACTTAACCCGAATACTATCTCTCCAGCCACTGTCCAGCTTATTTGACGTGGCTTAATGTACTAAGAGCCTCCAAGGTGAGTTTAAATACTTACCGCCATACCAACACCTGCGGTTTCCTTCTTCCATTCGGTTTACCCACGATTCATTCCAAGAGTGAGCAAAGTCTACCAAGAGTATCAGCTGGATGAGGATGAAGCAGAAGGCCCCGATTATACCAATAACATACCAGGCTACAAACGGGGGAAAAAAAAGGTTATTTACTATAGGAATAGCATTTCATAATGTTACTGTCTAACAATACACACTTGATCTTAGCCAAAAGGCCTGGCAAATTACCCGTGACGTATTCGATATGCCGAACACAGTAACAAGTCTCATGATGGAGACGTTACTGGGCCCACTCGAGCAAATCGATGAACAACGGGAGGACCGTGACCATGACCGTCTAACAATATTCTAAAAACAATTGAATTCAAAGAAGATTGCTGATAAAGATATGAATGTCTCTACAGTACTAGAGCTACCAATACAAAAGCACCCATTGAAAAGCGTCCTTTTCAAACTTGCTCTAGCATGTTCCCAGGGGAGCTCAGGCCCCGAGATTCCCAAAGGTACAATAAACTTTCGCTTCTGTGTGAGGAAAATCACAGTGCAAAGTTACTGGCCTCACTTGGTGCCAGGTCAGGGAAAGAGGTGAATGAGACAAGACAGTGCAGTACATGGGTTCCAGGGCTTTCCATGGCCAAGTTGTCCAATTAGTATTGCAAAGTGAGAAAGTATAGATTAATGGGGCCAGAGCAATAGTACAGTGGGTAGAGTGTTTGCCTGGCACCCGGTCAACCAAGGTTTAATCCCCAGCATCCTATACATCCCCCAAGCATCGCCAAGAGTAATTCCTGAATGCAGAGCCAGGAGAAACCCTGAGCATCACTGGGTATGACCACCCCCACCCCCCGAAAAAGTAAAAAAATTAAAAAATTAAATAAACTTGATTAATGTGGTTCCAAAATATTTGAGAGGGGCACGGAATGCCTCCTGGCTCTAATCAATCAGAATCTTAATGTTAGGACCCAGTGATATCATTGAATACCATTTCATTTAATTGTCAGTTCTGCAAAACTCAGTTATAAAAGATGTAACTTTATGATTTGTAATGTTTGTATTTATTACAATGAATTTTCTTAAGAATTAGTCTTACCTGTGGTAAAATGGCCCCCAGGAATGTAGAAAGAACCAACCATGATACCAACGATAGCAGCAATTTTGAAGAACCAAAACCTATTAAAATTAGAAAGTACATTTATTCTCATTTTTACCCTCACATTAACACAAAGAAATCGATGGTATCTCTGTGGTAAAACACATGCTTTTCTTGTGTGAGGTCCTGGGTTTTACTGCTAGCACATGCATACATGTACCACCAACACAAAGGGAAAAATGGAAAACAAGTTCCTAAATCCAGAAACAAAGCCTTAATGTTATTTCCAAAATGATTTCTGGGTTTAAATTTTCCATTTGGCCCAAACCTTTTCACTCTATATTTTACACAATTTGGGCTGGAGCGACAGCACAGCAGGGAAGGCACTTGCCTGGCACACAGCTGACCTGGGATCCGTCCTGGGCATCCCATATGGTCCCCGGAGACACACCAGCAGTGACCCCTGAGTGTAGACCCAGGAGTAAGCACTAAACATTGCTGGGTGTGGCTCCGAAACAAACAAAATATTCCATGCAATTTAAGGACAAACAAGACAAATAGTAACAGAGAACAAATAATTCACATTGATAATAAGAGAACTATGTAACTATGATTTCTTTACTACTAGCATTACAGATAGGAACTGTCTAGAATTCTGGAGCGCTTTAAACTAATGGAGTCAGGGGCTGGAGCAATAGCACAGCGGGTAGGGCGTTTGCCTTGCACGCGGCCAACCCAGGTTCTATTCCCAGCATCCCATATGGTCCCCTGAGCACTGCCAGGGGTAATTCCTGAGTACAGAGCCAGGAGAAACCCCTGTGCATCGCCGGATATGACCAAATAAATAAATAAATAAACTAACGGACAGAATAATTACATTATTAAAATCTGGGGATAAAATGACCACCTAATTCTTTTATAACACAGCACAGAAGTGCCTGCCCTATAACCACATAATTCATCGCGGGCAAAGGATGGTTCAAACCTGTGTCTGAGTCCCCCAAGTATTTCTAGGAAGCTCTGGGGAGGGGGTCCTCTCTGTGATTCTTGCCCATCCAGGTCCAAGGTTCAACACTGGGGCCCAAGGAAGCTACTCAATCCTATATTTCTGGGGAGCATACAGCCATCCCAGTAGCGCTCAGAGGTCTGGAGAGCCCCAAAACCTGAGACGCTCAGTGCCTCTTTGGGCCTGACTTCTAAAGGACAGTTTAAAAACAAACAAACAGAAAACAGGCTTTAAAGGTGGACAGAAGTGACTTTGATCTTGGTTCCAACCCTTACAATTGAGAAGGCAGTTTACTTAACCTTTCAGTTACTACATCTATAATAAGGAGATAAAAACACATTAAGCTGCCAAAAATTCTTTTAAAAATTTTCTTTTTGGGGGCTGGAGCAATGGCACAGCAGGTAGGGCGTTTGCCTTGCTGGGTTTGATTCCCAGTATCCCATATGGTCCTCTGAGCACCATCAGGGGTAATTCCTGAGTGCAAAGCCAAGAGTAACCCCTGTGCATCGCCAGGAGTGACCCAAAAAGCCAAAAAAAAAAAAAAAATACCAAACACCAACTTCCCATAGGCATCTGAGCCACTATTTACACATTTCCTTAAATCTTTCAAGAATGGCAATAATACCTGCCCCAGGGTCCCTCACCATAACAGGTTCATAATAAATAAATCTGACATACCCATTGTGTATTGCTGCTCTGGGATCTTTACTTGTTTTTACTTTTAACATAAGCAAAAAAAACACAAAGAAAAAAATGGCCAAAGAGAAGCTGATCCTATAGACAGCCTTATAATCCACCAGCACATCACAGCTTTTTTCTTCTTTTAGTATGTCTGTCTCGATTTTAAATCCCCCTTCACAGAATCCAGGAATCTGGAAAAAAGCAAGTTCAATGTCATGAGAATATTCACATTTATTTATTTATTTAGGTTTTGGAGTCATACTCGCTGATGCTCAGGGATTACTCCTGGCTCTACACACAGGAATTACTCCCGGTGGTACTCGGGGAAGTATATGGGATGCTGGAGATCAAACCTGGGTCGGCCAGTTGCAAGGCAAACACCCTACCCACTGTCCTATAGCTCCAGCCCTTAATATCTACACTTAAGGAGAGAATCTATGTTCCTAGAGGAAAATGAGGAATTCTAATACTGACTACTTCCAACAGCTCCAACACTATCCTAGGGGCTTTTTCTCTTTGCCTTCCAATTCATTTAAAATCTTGCCATTGTAATGAGAACTAAGAAACTGCATGCAATGACAAGTAAGAAAATGTAACGAGAGGGGCTGGAGTGATAGCACAGCGGGTAGGGCGGTTGCCTTGCACGCGGCAGACCCGGGTTCGATTCCCAGCATTCCATAGGGTCCCCCGAGCACTGCCAGGAGTAATTCCTGAGTGCGTGAACCTGGAGGAACCCCTGTGCATCGCCGGGTGTGACCCAAAAAGCAAATAAAAAAAAATGTAATGAGAACTGAGAAACTGAAACTGACCCCCTAGGTTAACAAGAGAAGGGAGGAAAAGGCTTTCCTTCTTACAACCCGTATCAGCCGGGTTAAGGGCCCACCAGATTGATGGCGGTGCACAGGAAGCGGTACCTGAAAGCCGTACCAAATGGGCAGGATATACGGACAGATTGTGTTTCTTGCGGGCTCGTGAAGGACACACCATATAGGCACAATGCATTGATTATTTTTCTTCTGCTGTATCCCTGCTTCACTGATAAGATGTATGGAGACTGCAGCCCACATGAGAGAATCAGAGAGAGATCCATTCAGCAAACAGGGCTCCAAGTCTCTCTCACTTTCGAATTGGGGGTCCTCAAATTGGGAGTCCTTAGCGCTGAGCCTCTAATGGACTATTTTATCCTGAGCACGCATGCGCGCACTCCCCCCCACCCCCGTCTCTCTCTTCCCCTCTTTGCCCCTCCCTCTCCGCCTCCATTTCGCAGCTTGCCCCAGCACAACCACCATCAAACAGGATAACTAATTTTCAATTTGAGCACCAAAGTGAAGTGCTCTGTGTGCTCTGTCCTCATCTTCCCAGGTCAAAGGCCAGTATCCTTGTTTAGGAACTCAACATGTAAACATGCGTGAACAGAAAATGTTTTAGGACCACCCTTTTAAAATCTGTTTTCTGAAGTCTGAAGATACAGCCTGAAGGTAAGATTCTATCTCTAGAAAAGAGCTAGAAATATCTTTTGTTTGTTTGTTTTCGTATTTTTGGGAGACCTTAACAGCAGGGCTCTGGGCTTATTCCAGGCTCTGCATTCAGGGATCACTCCTGGCCGGGCTCAGGGGACCATATGGGATACCAGGGTTAGAACTCAGACTAGCCATGTGCAAGGCCGTATCCCACTGGACTATGGCTCCGACACCAGGACTAGAAATACCTTGGCATTGTGTGTCTTGACTATACCCAGGAGCAATTTTATTTTATTATTATTGTTATTATTTTGCCTTTTTGGGTTGCACCTGGCGATGCACAGGGGTTACTCCTGGTTCATGCACTCAGAAATTACTCCTGGTGGTGCTTGGGGGACCAAATGGGATGCTGGGAATCAAACCCGGGTCGGCCACGGGCAGGGCAAACGCCCTCCCCGCTGTGCTATCGCTCCAGCCCCCCCAGAAGTAATTTTAAAAACCAACAACGGAAGCCAGTGCAACAGTTCAGCTGGTAGAGCATTTGATGACCTGGTTTGATCCCCGTCATGCCATCTGGTTTCCCAAGTACCGCCAGGAGTGATTCCTGAGCATCGCTGGGTGGGCCCCCAAACAAAAACAAACCCCCCAAAACCCAAAAACAACCCTGATGAATTTAAAAGAGCATTCTGTTCCTTCACCATCAGAATGCTCAAATGAACCATTACAGACTTTTTGCAAAAGGTAAGTATCAATTAAAATAATATCCAGTCCATTTCCTTTGATTACCTTTTTCAGCTGAGCGTCCAACGTGCCAGTGCGCATGATACAGCAGATAGCGGTGCCCAGGATGAGGATGAAAGCATAGATGAGGCGAGTCACCGTGGAATTTTTAGTGTTGGGGCAGCAGCTACACAGCAAACATGATGCCCCACTGCACAGGCACGGGACCTGTAAGAAGCACAGCACAGCCCGGTGAGGCCTCCGAGGGACTCCTCCACAGCACGCGTGTCCTAGAGCAGGAGGCAAAGGCCGACCAGGCCCCAGGTGATCTACACCCCAGCAATTACGGCGGGAAGGGTATCATTTATGCCCTCCCACCACACGTTGCCCTGTCTCAGCTGATCTCTCCATCTCTCAGACAGACTCCGCCACCCTCCTCCCCATCTGTGAAGAGAACCCTCCTCCTCCCTCAGACTGCTGATCAAACGAGCGCTCAGCACTGCGTCCACAATGACATTAAGAAACGGAGAAGCTAGAGACCAACACACTTGCCCCTTTCAGAACAGACTTGAGTGTTTCTTATGAAAGTGCTTTGTGTTCTAAGCCACAACTTCTCATCCTGTACCCAGCTCAAATCAATGTCATTTACCGTAACATTTTACTTTTATTTTGGGGCCACACCCGAAACTGCTCAGGACTTACTCCTGTCGGGGCTCAGGGGCCCATATGGATTGTCAGGGATAGAACCTGGGTCGGCTGTGTGCAACCCCACCCACTGTATTACTGCCCCGGCTCCAATGCCAGATTCTCAGAAATTCACCAACTTGTGCTTTTCTTTGTTGTGTCTCAATTTCATTCAAAATCTAAATGTATTATTATGGGTCTCAGACCTACTCTGTAATTGCTTACTTTGACCTGAACGCATGAGTCCAGAAAAATCATTGAACAAAGGTCAGCATTATCATTCCTGATAAAGGCTTTTGAATGGACGAGTGCCCCAGTATAGCATAAAATTATGTAGAAGGCTGATGCGCTCCTTCAGAGTTGATACAGTATTAAAATAAATTCTCAAAAACTAAAAAATAATAAAAATGTATTATGAGGGGGCTGGAGTGATAGCACAGCAGGTAGGGTGCTTGCCTTGCACGCGGTCGACCCAGGTTCGGTTCCCAGCATCCCATATGGTCCCCCGAGCACCACCAGGAGTAGTTCCTGAGTGCAGAGCCAAGAGTAACCCCTGTGCATTACCGGGTGTGAACCCCCCCCAAAAAAAGCAAAAAAAAATATTAAGATCTGATACATTATATGTATGTCACAGAGAGAAAAATTTATTTTAAAACATCCTGGGCTGGGGATATGGCTCGGCAGCAGAGCACCTTTCACAGTTTCTTTTCATTTTCTGTTTGCTTTCATTTTTTGTTTGTTTTTGGGGGGGGGGGTCACACCTAAGTGACCAGGGCTACTCCTGACTCTGCTCTTGGGACAGGTAGTGTCAAGGATCAATGCCAGATATCAAATCTGGGGCTCCCACATGCAAAGCATGCACCCCGGAGCCTCCCCAGCCCAGCAACAAAGCATTTGCTTTGCACTGAGAGAACCTGGCGTCACCCCCCCCCCAGCACTGCAAAACAAACCCCAAGCCACTTCTCCTAAACCTAAGAATCAGAGAACCCTAGTCATCGAACTCGCTCTTTTCTGAGAATCCTCATTACCAAATCTGTGAGCGCAGCATCCAGCAACATTCCATGGTAACCCTTATAAAGAGAGAGCTGGAGCCAGTTAGCTGCCCTCGAGAATAATCTGGCAGTTCCTTCCAAAGTAGAAGCCACATGACACGTAAGTTCTACTCAATTGTATACCCGAAAGAGCGGAAATAGGTATGCAAACACACATTTGTACATCAATGTTTAAAGCAGCACTATTTATAATCACCAAAGACAATTTACAATGCAAATTCTAACTCCTGATGAATGAATAAATATATGTCCAGACACTCTATTACATATTCAGTCCAAAAGAGAGGAATTGATACATGGCACAACATGGACCGAGCTTGCAAACAGCAGGCAAAGTAATGAAGCCAGACACGAAAGGTCACATAGCACACGATCTCACTTGTGTAAACTATGTGTAAGCGTATACTCTTGGGACAGAGAGCAGAGCAGATTCATGGTTTCCCAAGATCGGAAGGATGAGGCTTGGGGAGTTGGAGAGAAGAGTGCAGTGGATAAGGTGTTCGCCTTGCATGTGGCTCACCCCAGTTTGATCCCAGCATCCCATTTGGTTCGCCAAGCAGCACCAGAAGTAATTCCTGAGTGCAGAACCAGGAGTAACCCCTGAACATCGCAGGGTGTGGCCCATAAACAAAAATGAACAAACAAAAAGAACTGCCTGCTATTAGTTGCAGGTTGTTCCTCCATCCGTTGAAGTTCTATGTCCAGTCTCCAAATGAGACCTTTTGGAATAGGCAACTGCAGATGCAATTAGCTAAAATGATGAGTTAGTGGGCACCAAGACCAATTATGACTTGTGCCAAAGAAGAAATGTGGACAGGACACAGCTACAACGACACAGGGCGAGATCACAGAGAGAAGATGAAGCAGCAATCTGGAAGCCAACGGACACCAGAGATCCCACCCGAGTCAGGGAAATGGCACACATGTCCCCCACACCCCTCTCATACCTGACTCTCACTCTAAACCTCCAGAATGCTGAGACAATCAATTCGTCAAGCCACCCAGTTTGCAAGATTTTGTAATCCAACCCTAGCAGATAAAACACATGGACTGATTTGTTTCTGTCCTGGACACCTAAGAGTATCTAAAGGAGGGACCAGGCAGTGTTTTGTCTCTTATACAATCACACCTGGCACAGGTTATTGTAAAGTCCAGTGGGACCTGGAGGGAAATGCCAGAGCTAAACTGTTAGTGACTCTTCCTTATCTCCCCCTCCCTAGTAAAGCCTTGAGATGTAAATCCTGCCTCCACTGTTGAATCTTCCTTAACTGCCCCTCTGCTTGTAACTCTTCCCTTATCCGCCTCCACCGGAATGCAGGTGTCCTGAGCTGTAAATCACATAGACATAGAAGATAACCAGATGTCTGAGTTATGAGATACCCACTAGCCACAATGCCCGTGTACGTAAACGCTGATCTTTGAATCTATCAGCTAAGGAGTGATGTGCTTTTAAATGGATTGGTTAAGTAAGTATGTGTTGTTATGAATCTATTGGCTACGAAATGCGCGGGCTCTGCTGTAACAGTCTGTGAAGACCTATACAGATCCCCTTTGAAGAAGTTCTGGGTCTTGCCTAACCTGCTGGACCTGTGTCTGCAGAGGCGGCCCGACACTGGCTAGCTAGTCTTACAATAAACCCTGCTTGCTGTTTACAGTCTCTTTGTCAGTTAAAGGGAGATCACGATCTGCCTAACAGTATTAGCTCCTGTGGAACACACCTGCCCTACTATGCTGTCACTACCCCAGCTCAATCTTCCTCTCCTCTTCCTGTTGCTCAGGCCAAAATTCTTTTTGCTATAGTCATCTTTAAGCCTTTATCCAAAGCTCCATCAAATCTGACAGCACCCAGCTCTGTTCTGAAACTACACCCAGGATCACAGTATTTCCCAGCGTCCTTAGCTTGGCCCTTGGTCCCGGCCACTGCTACTGTGGTAGGGCTTGATGTTCCGACTGATATATACTGAAAGCCTCTGGTCAGGCCTTCTTCAGCAATCCTCCTTCCTGCACTTCCCAAATTGCTTTCCTTACAGGGACTCTCGGGAAAACATTTCCTACTGGGTGCGATGCCTTGGTTTCACACAGCTATAAAGCCCCTTCCTTCAGTTCCCCATGGTGTTCCTAATTTCCCATCCCATTCCTCCCAAATCCGTTTGTCTCTGGCTTTTTTTTTTTTTTTTTTGCTTTTTGGGTCACATCTGGCGATGCACAGGGGTTACTCCTGGCTCTGCACTCAGGAGTTACTCCTGGCAGTGCTCAGGGGACCATATGGGATGCTGGGAGTCGAACCCGGGTCAGTCACGTGCAAGGCAAACGCCCTACCCGCTGTGCTATTGCTCCAGCCCCTTGTTTCTGGCTTTTAACTTTGCACTTCAGAAAAAAACATTCCAGCCAGTATGTGGGGCTAACGGAAGTTCAAAGTCTCTGCTTTGTCTGCTCAGGACCCAGTCCTGGGAGCAGCAGACCAGCTGGATCTGCCAGTGAAAATAAATCTTGCTTATAAAGCTTTGAATAAATGCCGGGTTCTCCCCAGTCTAACTAAGGCTGCAATCCACAATCCTATCATTTCTCTGAAGGAAATGCATAGCTCCAGGCTCACAGCTACAGTGAGCCCTTCAGAACCCAAAACTGGTATAAAGGTTAAGATGGAGTCATGTGAGATTAAACAGACACAGGAGAAGAGGAGCCTTCTGGGGGCTATCTTCCTCCATGCAACAACTTCTGGATAGGCGGCTGCCATAAATTCTTTTCTCCAGAGGCTTTATTACAGTAAGATGAGACCTACATAATCAAGTGTCATAAACTTTCTTCTTTTTGCTCTCCTAAAAACCCACTTATCTTTCCTAGTGTTTGTTTTTCCCAAAGAAATCCTTTAATCCCAGTGGCTCACCTCCCCCTCTGCCTCCAATGTAAATTCCCCCACCCAGAAGCACCTGGCTCACACAATTCTCTTGCTAATCTATCCTTTATCATTCAAAGACACCCCAGCACCACCACCGCACTGCTTAGTCCTTTCCTAATCTCCACACAGTATTTTTGTTAAAACACAGAGAAGATCACATCATTCCCCTGTTCTGCAAAGGATCTCAAGGTCTTCACATTGACTCACAATACCACATCAGGTTTTGTACGGTATGTATAAGGTACATAAGGGAACTAGGGCATTTCGCTCCCCTGCTACTTTTCTGACTTCATCTACTATCCTTCCTCTCACTCATCCCATTCTCTGGTACACGGAATTCCTTGCTGCTCCACTGGAAAAAAAAAAAAAAAGCAAAAAGCAAAAGGATTAATAGAACATAAAAGTGACAAAGAGTAATCCTTCAGTTACCTTGATTCCAATCACAGGTTTACACCAAAGCCAGAAAGTACTCCAAGTTTATTAGGGTGGGAAAGACTTTTTTTTTAAATCAAAAATCGAGAGTATTCACACAGTAACAACAAAGTCTCCAATGGAGACGTTACTGGGCCCGCCGGAGCAAATCGATGATCAAAGGGAGGGCCTTTACCAAGTTACTCCTAAACGAATGACCTTGGTTATATTTTCTCTAAAGCTAGTAAAAAAAAGTAGTTTGTCTCACTCCTGGATTGTATCGGTTGGGGGGGGGAAGCGCCCCACTATAGATGTGACTGCGCAAAGCCAACTATGCATAACTGATTTATCATGGGGTCAAGGTCAAGAGAAAAAAAATATCCCTGCTGGAAAACAATTTGTAAAGTGCCAAAGGCCCTGTAGGAGAGAAAACGCCTTTTGGTCTCAAAGTAATGGGAGAGGCTTGGCATGTCCCCCACCCCCACCCCCCCGGGGTCGCCCATGGGAGTCAGTTGGTGGGGTGAGAAATCTGCAAAACGGTGCGTCTAGATCGCCAAACGGGGTGAGCGGCCTGCGTGCCCTCGGCACAGTCTCCTTCACAGACCTGCATTTCCCCTTCATGGAAACAGTGTTGCCAACGGAATCGCCCCCTTTGTAGGACTGCACCCGCCCTACAGCTCTCCAGGTAGGCATGCCGGGATGACTCTACCCACCTTCCGGGAAGCCGGAGCGATGACATCAGGGCATCGCCCCCCCATCCCAAACAACGCCAATAATCGCAATCGAGTGATGTCATCGAATCATAATTTTTTTTAACCTATATTTTGGAGGCTGGAGAGATAGCACAGCGGGTAGGGTGTTTGCCTTGCACGCGGCCGACCCGGGTTCGATTCCCAGCATCCCATAGGGTCCCCTGAGCACCGCCAGGAGTAAGTCCTGAGTGCATGAGCCAGGAGTTATCCCTGTGCGTCGCCGGATGTGACTCAAAAAGCAAAATAAATAAAAATCTGTATTTTGAAATAGGCACCTGCGAGATCTTCTTTCCCTGGGACCAGAAGAACACGCAGGCCTCCGTTAAAAAATTTTTTTCTAATTAAATTAAAACCCCTCGGGAGCCCTGGACGATGCCAGGCTGCGGGCGACCACGGGGACAAACGCGTCCCGCGTCCACCTCCAGGGCGGCGCGGGCGCCGGGCCGGAACCCAAGAGGCGCCGCCCCGCCGGCTCCCGCCCGGGCCCGGGCCGCGAGCGCCGCCGCACCCGGACGCACCCGGACGGCGCCGGACGCCGGACGGCCCGGGGGGCGGGGCCCGGGACTGTAAACAACAGCGGCCGCCGGGCCCCGGGGCCGCCCGCGTCTGCCCGCCCGCCCGCCGGCCCGGGACCCTCCGCCGCCCGCCCGGCCCCCGCTCACGCGCGTCTGGGGAACGCGCACCCGCCCCCGACGCTCTCCCGCAGCGCGCGCGAGCCCGGCGAGGCCCCAGAGCCCGAACTCACCCAGCTGGCGAGGGAGCAGACGCCCAGGACGGCCCCCATGCTGACCGGGCCCAGGGGAGCGCACGGCTCCCGACGCTGCTGACCGCGGCGGCGCTCGCTCCGGAGGCGTCTCACAGACGCGACGGTTCCTCAGACCGGAAGCTCGCCGTCCGCGTCACGGCCTGGCACCGCCCATCGCCCTGGGCCGCGGCCGCCCACTGGGCCGCCCCGGACTTTGACAGGCGAGAAGGCGGGGCTGGGGCAGCCCCTGGGCGGGGCTTACGCAGGTCCTGGGCGGAGCCTCGGCAGCCCCTGGGCGGAGCCCCCAGCTTCTGGACGGTGATTAGATTAGCCGGCCCCTGGGCGGGGCTTAGGCAGATCCTGGGCGGAGCCTCACCCGCCCCCGGGCCTGAGTTTAGTCGGCCCCTGGGCGGAGCTTAGGCATATCCTGGGCGGAGCCTCGGCAGCCCCTGGGCGGAGGCCCCAGCTTCTGGACGGTGATTAGATTAGCCGGCCCCTGGGCGGGGCTTAGGCAGATCCTGGGCGGAGCCTCGCCAGCCCCTGGGCGGAGCCCCCAGCTTCTGGGCGGTGATTAGATTAGCCAGCCTCTGGGCGGAGTTTAACCAGCCTCTGGGCGGGGCTTAGCCAGGCCTTGGCCAGAGCCTCGCCAGGCCCTGGCCGGAGTTTAGCCAGCTCCTGGGCGGAGCTTAGGCAGCCCCTGGGCGGAGCCTCGCCCGCCCCCTGGCCTGAGTTTAGTCGGCTCCTGGGCGGAGCTTAGGCAGCCCCTGGGCGGAGCTTAGCCCGGCGGAGGGGGAGGCGGGGCTAAGCCCTGCCGGAGGCGGGGCTCGGGGCGGGGCTCGCCCTCAGAGGCTGCCTGGGCAGACTTGATTTCCTTCATTTCATGTGTGTTCATAGTGAGCCCATTATGTGTCAAGATCTGGGGTACGGAAGTGCACAGCAATTGGTGACCTAGTTACAAATGCGAGAGCTGATAATGAACATAAATGTCCCCTCTCCCCCGGCAGAGTGTGATGTATAGTGTCGAAGTATTATAAAAGGGAACATTCTTTCAGTGGAAATGAATGTGGAGGCCAGGGAGTTAGCTGGAAGGGCTTATCTGGCAAGCACAGGGCCTGGGGTTCCACCCCTCTGAGGCCTCCCTAGCACCGCAGGGTGTAGCCCTGCTGGCCCCTAGCACCCCTGGAGAGGCCCCAAACAAAAGCTACTTAATAAAGCTTGTTCTGAGAGAGGAAAGTCATATGGTGGAGGGTAGTCCCAGAGGCTTTTCAGAGGAAGTTATATTAATTTGAGAACAGAAAGAATGAGTTAAAGTCAGCAGGGGCAAGAAGGGCATTGTTCCCTAGTATGTGGGATATATATATCCTTTGAGGGAAATGAAAGCATCTAAACCCACAAGAACAGAACATTAAGTAACTTTGGAAGGCTCAGTATGGACGTCCTGTTTCACGTTCCATTGAGACTAGCACATATTCAACGATTTTCTAGCAATTATTGCCTGTCTCCCTTTTATTTTTATTTATTTATTTTTTACTTTTTGGGTCCTTGCGCAGGGTCACACCCGGCGATGCACAGGGGTTACTCCTGGCTCATGCACTCAGGAATTACTCCTGGCGGTGCTCAGGGGACCATATGGGATGCTGGGACTCGAACCTGGGTCCGCCACATGCAAGGCAAACTCCCTACCTGCTGGGCTATCGCTCCAGCCTCTCTATCTCCCTTTTTAACAGAGCGAAGACTTTATTTTCCAGATCCCTCCCAGCAGCAAATATATGATTAGCATTGCTTTGTTTTAGGGTGTCTGTGCTGGAAAAAAAATTGTTTAATTTCTACAATTTTTGCTCATACCTAGCTTACTACTTGAAGGCGTCCATACTGTACTGGTGGTTCCTGCAGGCAAAGCACTTGCTTCAGTCCATGGAGCTATCTTCCCAGCCCTGATTGCAGATTATCTTCTCTTTGGTTGGTTGGCTTGTTTGTTTAAAAGTTTTCTTTGCTTTTATTAAGCATTTCTATTGTGATAAAATTGCTAGAAATCTTACCTCTGGTCAGAGAAACAATAGTTAAAACCCTACTGCTGGGTAACAACCACTCTGAATACATTGATTGTTGGAGTACAAGGAGTTTAGGTTTATCAGGTTGCACCCATCACAGTGCTCCCGAGTCATTCCCATCACTCTGTTTGTCTGTAACCACTTCTATGCTCTCTTCCCCAACCAATTTGTAAGGTCTCATCCTTCTTAGACACTGAAGCTGTACTGTAAGTTAATATTGCCTTTCTCCTCTCCTATGTCTTTTGAGCAGTTTACTTTAATGCAATGTCCTTTTTGTATGATACAGGAAGACAATTAATATTGTGCTTTATAACTTAGCAGTTGATTGGCTTTGAATATTATTCACTCCTGGGCTTTCTCAACTTAAGCCTCAGTTGCCCTCACTTCCTAGCACCCCAAGGGCAGGGTCCTGACGTGGGACTGGATGGAACCAGGGCAAGCCGGTAAGTTATGTGCTACCCTGGCATCGCGATGGGCCAGGTCAAGGTGCCACGATTCTTAACTATAGGTTAAGCGTTTGATCACAGGCAAATGCTGTCATGATCCAAAAGTAATGACAAGACTAGGACCCTGCTGCTAGGAATAGGAAAGATATCTGGCCTGAGCACTGCAGTCTGAGTTCGAGATGGCCCTAGGAGAGCAATTCTATAAACTCAAAGTATTTCTTACTGTGTCCATACAAAATGATTTATTTTATGTATGCTTATATGTTGGTCGGACAAGGAGAGGAGAAACACATCCAGGGAAATCTGTTCTAGGGTGGGTTGATCTGTCCTAGAAGCAGTTTTCCTATGTGTCCTGACTAGCTTGGATGAGACTGAACCTTTCTCCCCTTCAAACTGCCTGCAGTAAAAGATTTCAGTATATTGAGGCAATTTCCCTTATCTCACAGGAACCTAGCTGCCCTTAGGTATGCAGATCTCAGGTGCTAAACCAGGCCTGATCTTTGGGATGTAGATGCCTGGCTCCAGGCAGGCTGATGTAGATTCCAAACTCTAGCAGACTGGTCTTTGTTGTGCTAATCCAAGTGCTTGTAGCTTGTAAAAGGTGAGGCCAGGATTACTGGCCTGCGGATGCAAAGAAACAATGTATGTTTTCCTCAATGTTCTTTCTGTAACTCCTTTTGATGACATCACTGTATTGTGCCCTTTAGAGATACTATGATTGATATAAGGGAGATTGCAGGGCTGGGGATGGGGGGAGGCGGGGGACACGTGCATCAGAGAACTTGGGAAGATGGGGCTGAGGACAGAAGCTGAGAGAACAAAGGCACACGTGCTTGAGAGATCCTGGGGCCTCCATGACATACATCTCTTCCATATAATAAACTGCTGCTAAGACCAACCAGCCTGGCTCGCGTTTCCTTCCTTCACCTGACCATTGCCATCGACCTCCGTGGAGTGGGGAACCGGCCTGACCGCCGGCCTTTTTATTTTTTGTGTGTTTGCACAATTGATAACTGCAAAAAAAGTTTTAAAACAAGGGGGAACGTGAAAAATATTAGGAACATGCCACCTGAACTCCAATGGCTTCTCTACTCTTTTGCCTGAAATCACGTTTTAAGTTCTGTGTGGGTGGTTGAAAAGCTATGCTTGCTGTATTTGGGGTTTTGGTTTGTCCTGTCTTGAATAACCAGGACTCCAGTGCTATTGAAAGAATCCATATTAGGGCATCAAATTTTTGCGTGCTTCAGCTAACTTGCAACATTGCTTTCTGTAAAACTGCTTGGCTGCTTTGCACCTGGGGGAGAGGGGACTTGGAAAGTAAACAGGGCATAACTTCTTTCTAAACCAAGTGTGACAGGATTCAGGTGTATTTACTGTTCCTGAAATGTATTGTCTCAGTAAAGCACCCTGCAGACTTGGGTAAAGGATAACTCAGGATGCTGTGGTTGGGGGAAATTGCCCTTTCCTGGAGTGTATTGTCTCACTAAAGCACCCTGCAGATTTGGGTAACTCAAAATGTGGATGGTCAAGGGAGATTACCTAAGGCTTCCGGCTATAACCTTGCTTGTGCTGACAATCGATACGTAAATGCTGGTCTTTGAATCTATAGGCTAAGGAGTGAGGTACTTTTAAATGGATTGGTTAAGAAAGTATTTGTTGTTACAAATCTATTGGCTATGAAATACGCGGGCTTTGCTGTAATGGCCAGTGAAGGCCTATAGAAGATCCCCTTTGAAGAAGTTCGGGGCTCTCAGCCACTGCCTACTCTGGGCTATGCTGTGGAGCCCCAGCATGCTGGTCTAAATAAACCCCGTTTTTACTCCTGCAGGAATTGTGTCTATCTGGTCTTTCCGCGCCTCCCAGGGCTAGGGAACTCCCGATCCCAACACTATAAAAGGAAGAGAACTGAATAATTATCTTATGCATTTCTACTGAAATGGTGCTGGTTTATAAGAACACACATGCTGAGGACACAGATTGTACAGCAGATAAGGCATCTGCCTTGCTCTTAGCTGTCCTAGGTTTTCTCTCTGGCACCCTTGATGATTCTCTGAGCCAGCAGTGAATTCATAAAGTGATCCCTGAGTGCAGAGTCAGGAAGGAATAAGCCCTGGGGAGCGGATGATAGTACAGCAGATAGAGCATTTGCCTTGCACATGACCAACCCGGGTTTGATTTCTGGCATCCCATATGGTTCCCAGAGCACCGCCAGGAGTAATTTCTGAGTGCAGAGCCAAGAATAACCTTTGAGCATTGCTGGGTGTAACCCCCCTCCCCACCAAAAAAAAAAAAAAAAAAAAAAAAAAAACAAGGAATAAGTCCTTATTACTGCCACAATCCCTGAGTGCACAGCCCTGAGTGCTGAGCCAGGAATAAACCCAAAGCACTCTGCCACATATACTCTGTTAGGGGCACACCCAGTAGTGCTCAAGGATCACTCCTGGCAGAACTCAAGAGACCATATGGGGTGTCAGAGATCAAACCCGGATCCACTGCATGCAAAGCAAGCATCCTGCCCACTGCACTATCTCTCTGGCTCAGAAATTCTTCCATTTATTTCTAGCAATGCTCATTTTCCATCGAAGCAGTGATGTAAACTTTTCTTGTGAATTTAAGTGAAAATCTAAAGAAGAAAGAAATTATTGACACATGTAGAGATGGTT